AACTGAAATGGTTATGGAACTTTACATGAACGTTTAATGATAAAGTTTCAACCTTATGTATTATGGTTTTTTGGAAATGGACCTTACAAATAATGGGTTGTTAAGAACCATTACCATTCCAAATTCTTGTTTTCTCCATACATTTTCAGAAAGAGAACTATATAAGAACGTTTTTACTTATGATTTGAGAAACATTAATGGTAATGGTTATGGTAGTCAGTAAGGTCCATTAATGGTTTTGTATTATCGCTCAACTTTACGTGGAATATATCGTGAATTGGTAATCAGTAAATTACAGGCAACCAATTCGCGATATATTCCACATAAAGTTGATCGATGTTACAAAACCATTCGTGGACCTTACTGACTACCATAACCATTACCATTAAAGTTCTCAAACCATAAGTTAAAAGGTTCTAATATAGTTCTCTTTCCGAAAATGTATGGAGAAAACAAGAATTTGGAACGGTAATGGTTCTTAACAACCCATTATTTGTAAGGTCCAGTTCCAAAAAACCATAATACATAAGGTTGAAACTTTATCATTAAACGTTCATGTAAAGTTCCATAACCATTTCAGTTGAAGTTCAGCAGGGATTATAAACAATTTTTAACCATTTTAGGTAAGGTCAATTTATGGTTCGCGTTTATGCGGGAGAGAATGCAAACTTAGTTTAAAAATGGTTTATGCGTGCCGTAGTATAAAATCGAAATATACCTACAATGCATAGATACGGTTTATTCGAGAGAATGTATTTTTCGCTTCTTTATTTTACTTATGGTAAATATTATTGTTTTCATATTAAAATTAAAATTGTAAAGCTTTTTAAATTAGTTTATTTTTTTATGAATATTATTCAAAAAATACTTACAATCTCGATGTTTATTAGGATGAACTCATGCTCACGCAGTCTAGCTGCCCTGCAGATCACAGGCGCAGAAGAAATCCGCCTGGACGAAGCTCTTCACCAGCACGAAGCTCCGAAGGAAATCCAGATGTTCTTTTTCCTGTCATTTTAGTAAACACTGATCGAATTCCACTCCGTTATTCGGACTTAGTATAATCAACAATCAATACGAAACTAACGATTTTAAATTGGCTCACCACTTTAGTAGCCTATTGGTCCCAAGCAAACGATTAACGTAAACTAATCTAGTTGAAATTCTATTACTACACTATGTTTGTTTTGATTCGCTATGAAAGTTTGACAGATAACATCAGGGGTGTGTGGATTCAGGGGTGCAGGGGTGAGTGAAATAGCTTGGGACTGCTTGGGACCGTTGTTCTGGTACTGAGTGAGCCAAAAATAATAATGATTTTCTTCGGGACCCAGTGGTCTTAGAGTTACCTCTATGGTTAAATTGTGTACACCGGAACGATTTTAAATGGTTGATTTCGTATATTTCCATCACATTTTATTAAAAATAGTAGCAAAAAACAATAATGAGGCACGCTTATTTCTTCGTGACTTCAACATGGTGACGCAGATATCGGGGAAATCTTCAGACTTTTGCTGCCAGCTTCCCCTCTTGAACCAACCATTCCGTGACGTAGGCGTGCCAGTTTTGGAACTTTTCCAGTACTCCATATCGCGGAAACATCGACGAAAACTTGCTTCGCATCCTAGGCTAACTCCATCAGAGACACTTCAAATTCGGCCACTTTCGACGTGTCCGGCGACCTTGCCGTTCCATTGCCCGCTGAACTCGATCCAGATCGTGCCACCGTTGGAAGCCCTCTGTAATGTAGATCAAAAGTTACTAAATAATGAAATGTACCTTGTTAGATATACTTACTATTGCATCGGCCATCTCTTTGGCCTGATCCCCCTGATCCCACACATCCTGTCCAACTGTACCGGACAACACTTGTAACAGCTGAATCTGCTGCTCACTAGCTCCTCCAACTTTATCATGGAAGAATATAGGAAACGGAATAGGAAGAAAACTTGGTTTTCGTTCCAGCACTCTATCGCGAAGAAAGCAGTAATTCCTTCCCACTGCTGGCGATGATGACGACTTCTTTTGGGAGTTTAAGGAAAGTTATAAATTACTAATTACTAATTATTACTAAGGAAAGTTATAAATTACTATCAAATTGTCTATTATAATGATACTATAAACAAAGTATCTACCTGTGAAAAAGTTAATCATTGTTAGCCAGCGGCGTTTTCGGAAAATAATTGTTTCCAAGTTTTTTTTCAGCCACTAGAGAATACAATTTAGACACTTTTGTTGAAAGATTGTTTTCTCTGGAAATGTCTAAATTGTATACACTTTTTTGCTATAAAATTCAACCACTCTGACAGCCCGAACAAGCTCTCAAAAGTGGTTGAAAAATAGTCATTAATGCATAGACTCATTTTTCCGTATACTACTCTTAGAGTTACCTCTATGCCTCTATGCTACTAATTGGGTTGTTTAGGGGTATTGAGGTAAATACATATTCGTTATCTGCATTAAAAATGGAACTGAAATCCAAAATGTCATCAATTTTGTTACACTAAAACTATTTTAAATAAGTTTAACTACATTAGCAAAAATCACCATCTTAGCGCCCGTTGGTGGGACTTTGTATGGGAGCGAGCTGTCAACGAATAGATTTAGTGTCAACGATCAAAATTTTAAATCTTGATTTAAAAATCTAGATGAATGTCACGGGATCGAAATAAACATCGTTGTGCTCAGAAAACGAAGCTCTATCAGATGATGTAGAAAAATCGGTATATTTTTCGAAGTTAAACAACCCAATTAACAATACAAATACCCTCTTGTGCCATACCTGTCCAAATTTAATTGATTAATGGGTACTTACAAGTTACAGTGCAAGGACAGAAATAAAAATTAACCCGCAACATAAACAAGCAGTACTAGATTATTTACGATGAGACGTGAGAAGTAAATACATTGTCATTGTACGTCACTCTCGCCTTATTCAATCCTAAGAGGATTCAATCCAAAACCATGATCATTAAAAATTTCTCAAAATATTAGAAATCCTCTGAGGATTCGTATTAAAAACCACATTAAATAGGTGCACAAAAACATACAAACATTCAAAATGGAAAAGTATTGCCGAACTTGTTTCAGACACAATGAATTCAAGAAGTTTGATATTGACACCGTATCACAAATCAGCGACATACGAATCGACGGACTGATCATGTATTGCCTACAGGTGCAGGTATGTTACGATTTCAAATCCGAATATAGACGTCTCTATAAGTCTATTGATCATATTATAATGTTGGAACCTTTTCTTATCAGATTAGTCCTCACGATCGGTTACCTCAGCAGATCTGTGGAGCATGTCTATCTGTACTTAATTCAATGTTTCTATTTCGGAAGCAATTCTACGAAGCCGACACAGAATTCCGAAAACTGCTAGAATATGCGCAACCCACACAACTGGAAGAAACTGCTACAAGCTTGGAACTAGAACTTAACCTACTGGATGCAATAATTCCTAATCAAGACTTTTCAATTGAAACTTTTGAACCGGAACCGGAAGACACAATTGATTCCATTCCTGACGACCAACCACCGGCACCACTGGAAACGCAGGAAATAAAAATCGAAGAAAATTGCATCGAGCAAGAACCAGAAGAACAATCCGTTGTAGTGAAGAAGAAACACTCGAAGATGTTTGAATGCGAACAATGCAAACATAGAGCGTCATTCAAAGGTAACCTTAAGCGGCACCAAAAATGTTGGAACCACACCGGAATCACGGTCATAGACATTGAGGAAGAAGCAGACGAACAATCCGTTGTAGTGAAATACCGTACGAAGATATATGAATGTGAACAATGTAATCATAGAGCATCATTCAAAGACAACCTTTTGCGGCATCAACAATCTTGGAACCACACCGGAATCAGGACCATAGAACCAAAGGATAAGACTCCGCAGAAGGCAATCAGAAAGCTGCATTGTTGCGGAGAGTGTAAATTTCAAACATTTGTCCAAGCCAACTTTTTACGTCATCAGAGGAGGTGGAAACACACGAATTACAACACGCAGGACATCGAGGTGAATCAGGTTCTAGAAAAATGTCCTAACTGTCCCCATTGTGGTGCACTGCGTGCCAATCTGCCACAACATATCGCAAAGTGGTGCCCAGTGTTGCATGTAGAAAGGAAAAAGCCACGGAACTATGTCAAAAAATATACATCTTGGATTTTGAGAAACGAGAAACGAATAATTGAACCAGAAGCGCCTCAGATTACGATTAAGATGGAAACCGAAGAAAACATTCCTATGACCGCTGTAGGTCAGGAAACGGAAGAATCGTCAAATTCCATTATTTCACTGGAAACGCAGGAAAACTCAATCGTAGAAGAAACAGTCAAAGCTAAAACTACAACACGACCCATTGTTGTCAAGCGATACCACTCAAAGGTTTTTGAATGCGGACAGTGTGACTATAGGGCATCATTTAAAGGTAACCTTGTGCGTCACCATAAATCCTTCAAGCACGCCGGAATTAGGGTAATGATTCCAAACGACAGAGCTCCTCAGAAACAAATCAAGAAACTGCTACAATGCGAGGAGTGCAGCTATCATTCGTTAATGCCGTTACACTTTGAACGCCACCAGAGTACCTGGAAACATAAGCAATGCAGCACGCGGGACATAGAGGTGGAACTTGTTCTGGAGAAATGTCCCAAATGTCCCTATTGTGGTGCCCAGCGTGCCAATCTGCAACAACATATCGCACAATGGTGTCCGAAATATCGTGGACGCAGGAAGAACAAACATTGTGTTAAAAAATCAACTAGCCCACCACGTCCGAGAGTTCCGAATGCAGCAGCAGCTTCGATGCAGGCCAATTATGTCAAGGTTGAAACCGAGGAAAACTTTGATGCAGATCCCTTTTATCCATGATTATTAAAATAGGTTATATTTAATAGGTTTAAAACACGTATGAGCGCATCTGAAAATTTGGAATTATAAACTTACAAACATTTGCTTTTGGCTAATATTCTACCAATGAATCAGAGTTAATAAATAAAGCAAAATTATTGATATTTTTAATCAAAAGGGAATTTGGCCATACATTCTCAAGCCGATTTTCCACCAGCTTATACGACTGAAAGCTGCTCGCGACAAACAGACATAACTCTCGCAAGTTGTAGTAAATTTAAATGTATCTTAATTGGTAGTGCCGCCACCTGTGGCGCGCATAGTCAATTCCTTTGCGTATGACATTCACACTACCGCCATCTGTTGAGCTTACTGTTCGTCACAGCCCTAAAAAATACCATACAATAACGATAATCCAAACGATAGAACTATTCCTCAAATGCTTTGGATGATACCCCGAACACGTTGGTAAGCAAAATAACCACAGCAATTGTATTCTTCGCTGCACACAATGTCAAATATTCACGTTTTTTTTTTACAAAACTCAGGTAATCACGAGGGTAACGCATGACATTTGATCTTCAACAATATCGCGAATGAAAAAAGAGACCTGGACCTACTGCGTCATGATTACCTGAGTTTTGTCAAAAATTGTAAATATTTACACTGTGTGCAGCGAAGAATAAGGGAGTGTACTCAACAGATGGCGATGTTTTACAGTGAGGAATATTCAATGTGTTAAATTTTGTCTGTTTGTCTATGATCAAGCCATCAATGACACGCACATACCTTCTGCATATTGATTTATAGATTTATGGTGGTTAGTTCCAACTCGGATTAACTTTTAATCCCGTCCCTGTCTGAATGATCTGCAAAATGTTTGCTTAGAATCATGTTGATTAACTCTGATATCGGCGTCAAAGCAGCCGGACAATCTTGCTCGGGATTTAATCCGAGGAAAATACCAGTTGGAGCTTACCGCCACCGACAAACCGACATGAAAGACCATAGCAAAGCACACTACTGACATCTGACTCCGTGTTCACTTCACTCTTGAGGGAAGAGGGGGTCCTAGAAAATGTGACAGTACGTGTCATGTAGAAAAATGGATTTCTGTTTCAGGGCCTACTGTATTTTGTTATTGATTCAAACATATTGTATCACTATTTCAAAAACATATTTTGGTTTGAATGGTTTTTAGAATCAACAAACAGAATATTTACTCTACAACTGGTTTCCCGCATAGAAAAATACCATTTCTAGAACAGTTCAAACTTCACTGACACCTTACTAGCTATGTTAACTTTTCACAAAATAGTTTTGTTATGGTTTATGGAATGTAATAAACATTAAAGAAACACTACTTTCAACTGTTACAGTTTCTGGTATGTTTCAGCTAAATTTTGTTACGGTTGATCAACTATACTGAACTGTTACAAAACATTACGAATAAAAGTTGTAAACAACTTGTACAACGCTTACGTGTTTCGATTATGGTTGCTTTATGTTTTTACAATTTGTACAAACAGAAGAAAACGCTTTTGATTGAAACGGTGCTCGTGAGTTCATTGTGTTGTTTTGTTCGTTATTTTATTTTTAAAACCCTTGGTAATATTAGCTTAAAGCATAAAATATTTCTTAAAAGCGCATGCATTTTCTACACAAATATTCAGGGCTAACAGCGGTTTACATGTGAAGGAGATTTCGATGCTGGTGGCTCACATCATCCAAAAAGGAAATCGAAGCAGGTACGTTATGCCGGGGCCTTTTTATCTTCCAGAAATGGAATGGAGTTTGTTTTGCAGGGCAAATTCATTTATCTATTCATTTTATATTAGATCAATAAACATGTTACCAAGAGCAAGGGAGGTGTCCACAAAAAGAAATCTTGTAAATCACATTAAAATTAAAGAACAACCCATGATGGCTGTATTCCGGATAAGCTACGACAGTATTTATTATAACGTCAATAAGTATAGTAATTTATACCATTTCATAGTATATCATGAAGTTAACAACAATGGTTGGTTCTAAACCGTACTACCTTATTCGAAAGTTAATGGAAATAGTTTCACATATCCAACTAGAACCTTTTCTGATGTGGTAAGGCTATAGTTGTTTTGCTAAAAATGTATGAGAAAAAGCGAGATTTCGTATGGTGAACGTTCTTAACCACCCATTGTTCATATGTTTGGGTCTTCGAAAACCTTAATCAATATGGTCAAAACTTTATCTAGGTATGGTTTGATTAAAGTTGACTGAACCTTTCTCATTATGGTTTTCAGAGGAAGATAAACCATTTTTAATGTGGTAATCGTATGGTTGTGATTTATGCGGGTTGTTGATTCAAAAATATTTTTCTTTGAATTAACCGAATAATACATTTGAATCTATACCACAAATATATTAGGCCCTGAGCCAAAAATATATCAATTTGAATCTAAAAATATGAGGAAAGGCGTGACACCAGGGGGAGAGGGCGAAACAGTGGAAAAATTATGGATGTCATATTTGAATCGCCAATCAGTTTGGGGTGGCCTAAATGTGGATCTCGTCATTTCGCCGTCGTCTGAGCTCTGGAGTGCGTAATCGCCTCAGAGCTCTAACATGACAGCAAAGCACACTGCTATGTCATTACGAAGAAGAAAAATGTTGTTTTCGTCTAGTACGATTTTGTGGGTTCGTCCATGTTGGTGATACTCGCAAATTAATATTGAACTGAACAGTAATTCTATGTTTGAGTGAACCGTAAACATTGTTCAACATTGTGCTTGTTCCACAATTGCAGCATTCAATTGGGAGAATTCAAATCAAACCATTGGTTGCCACGGAATGGATGACTTCTGTCGAATATGCTCACGTTCCGACGAGTTCCAGAAGTTCGAGCTCTCGACGATTTCGCAGATCAGCAATATCCGAATCGATGATATGCTCGTTTACTGCACCCAGCAGCAGGTAAATACGGTGTAGTTATTGTAGATTCATAAGTTCTTATCATCAAAAGTTTGTATGACCTCAACAAGAAAAAATTGGTTCTACTCTAGTACTTCATTTAAAAAACGTAAACACTTCAAGTAGGGGAAGCGAATGTATGATTGGCACTCGTTCATTTTTTTTACAGATCAGCACCGGAGACAGCCTTCCGCAGCATATCTGTGCCGAGTGTTTCACCGCTCTGAATTCAGCGTTCGTATTCCGAAAGCTCACATATCATTCGGAGAATGGATTTCGACAAATGATCAACAGGAATTTGACCGCCTCGGTTTCAATGCCGAGCAGTATCGCCCTGGTGCCCATTCCGGTGGAAATGACGGATCACATTCTACCGGATGTGGCCATTAAAGAGGAGCTAGAACTGGGAGAACCGCTGGCAGCAGACATAATTCCCGTAGTGTTCACAGAAGCGTTGTCGTTAGAAGAGAACCTCAATAGTACTTCAGATCGAACAGATGGCATCACCCAGCCGGGCAAAAAGCGCGGTAAAGCTACAAGAAGCTTTGCCGGACCAACAACGTACGTTTGTAAGGACTGTGGCTACACCACCCAACATTGTTTCAATTTTAAACGACACCAACAAAATCAGAAGCACTCTGCCTACAGTAAAATAGTCACCAAGCGACCGTTACACATGATTAAACATCTGATTAAACCGTTTATCAAACCAAAAGTGACCAAACCACCCGCCGTCAAACAAAAACCGAAAAAACCCGAAAAGAAAACAACCAGGAAGGGAGGACGTCAGCGGAATCCTATTCGAACCCTCTACAGGTGTGATGATTGTGGCTATCAAAATTATATCACATTCAATTTTCGACGCCACCAAAAGAACTGGAATCATACGAAGGTCAGCACGTTTCACGAGCCGATAACGAGTACCCAGGAAAGCATGCTCAAATGCCGTGACTGTGGCGACGAGTTTCCCTCTAATGCTATTCTGAAGGCTCATCGCAGAAGCGAGTGTCAGACTTTGGCAAGCAATCTCGACTCGGATTATGTCTACAGCGATGAGGCACTGGCAATTTGTAGAAGTTTGGGCACCAAAAGAAGACAAGTCAAACGAGATATGACAGAGCAAATGGTTAAGGTGAAAACGGAACCCAGGGATAACGAACCTCCAAGCGCGCAGGTTGCGGATGGCGAAGAGTTAGAAGATAGGAGGAATCAACTTGATTATGAAGACAGTTTATTGAAAAAAGAGTGAACGATGTAGATGTATTTATAAAATCTGGCAAATAAATTCTGTAAAAAACCATGTTGCTACTAGAGTTTTAGATTTTTAAATTTAAAAATTATGATGCACGATTTTCTGAAAATTCACTCTTCTCCTTCACAATTGCCTGCACAATGGAGCCGGTTGCGTTGCGTTAATTTGACAGTGTTGGGGATTTTTTTTTAACTATCGGATAAAATGGGTTCGAAGGGTCTCAGAATTGTATGACATTTTGTTATTTGGTTGCCGGAAGTTCTCGGATTTTCCTGAATTCATAACCCACCGAGGATAATGCCGGTTAAAGGAAAGATCATAAGTGCATTTTATGGTGACCAGCCATGTAGAAAAATCCGCTAAGGAGGAGGGGGCCCAAAATTGGAGCTTCATCAGATGTAAACGTAATTGTAATCCTCTTTAGCATACCCCCCATGAATTCCTCGAAAACTCCCAAAGGAATTACGAATTCTTTTTCTCCCAGAAACTTCTTGAAATCATCCTCCGAATTCCCCGAGATTTCTCCTTTGAATTGCCTTGGAGTTCTCCTAGGAATTGGGTTGTTTAACTTCGAAAAATATACCAGTTTTTATACATTATCTGATAGAGCTTTATAATTCAACTGACAAATACTGTCTAAATGAATAAAACTTAAACTAAATAGTTACGGTCAACGGTACGGAAAAGGCCAAGTAGCCGATGACGAAACACGTCAGCTGATACATTGAAGTCGAACATATAAAAAAAGTTGTTGAATTGCCGGCTGATTGCTCGAATTGGCTCGTGTTGTGTATAATTCCGGCTCCGTGGTTCCAAAAACAGAAAGTCGCGTTGACGAAGAGACCTCTCAGGGGCATACATATTTAGCTGTGACAGCAGTGTTGGGCAGTCAATGTCACCTGTAAGCAGAGCGACCGTCCGTCTCACCTCTAATGGCTCGATTCCCAGGAGACGGCAACGCTCCTCGTACGGTGGCAAGTTCGTTGGGTCATGCCAGTTGAGGAAACGAAGAGCATATCTCACAAACTTGCGTTGAACGGATTCAATTCTAGTGATCCAGCTAGCATGGAAAGGGCACCAAACAACTGAACTTGACTCCAATAAGGATCGCACAAGCGAGCAGTAAAGTGACCTGAGACATAGCGGGTCACGAAACTCGTCGGCAATTTTGAAAATAAAGCCCAATTGTCGATTAGCTCTGGAGATGATGTCATTGTAGTGGATTCTGAAAGTGAGTCTGCAGTCCAAGGTAACGCCGAGATCCTTTATGTGCTCTACACGAGCAAGACAGCGTCCGTAGAGAACATAGTCAAACATGATTGGTTCAACTTAACGGTGATATGAAATAATGTTAAATTTTTCTATGCTTAGACTCATCAAATTTCTTGAGCACCAGTCAGCAAAAATACCTAACATATTCTGGAGATCCCAGCAGTCCGAGAGGCTTTTAATAATTTTGTAGATTTTCGTATCGTCTGCATAGAAAACGCGGCATCCTAATGGTATCAGCAAGACGACATCATTTAAAAAGATCGAAAATAGTAGCGGTCCTAGGTTACTGCCTTGCGGGACTCCCGAGTTGTTTGAGAAAACATCCGATTCCGACGCGCCAATCTTGACATGTACATAGCGATTCACCAAGTAAGATCTGAACCAATCCACAGCAGTTGACGAGATGCCAAGTATCTCCAGCTTGGCCAGCAAGATATTATGGTCCACCGTGTCAAATGCAGCTTTTAGATCCATATACGCAGTATCGACTTGCCATCCTGAATCCATGCATCGCAGACAGTTAGAAGTGAAGTGCACCAGGTTCGTGGACACGGAGCGCTTCGGGTAGAAACCGTGTTGTTCTGTATCGATATAATTTTTGCAGCGTGCGAACAGAGCACCATTTATGATAATCTCAAACAGTTTTGAGCAGGCACACAGGAAGGTGATTCCACGATAATTTATGACATTCCGTTTATCTCCTTTTTTGTGCACTGGGAACAGATAAGAAAGTTTCCAGCGGCAGGGGAACTCACATTGCTGTGCCGAGAGATTGAATAGCCTCGCAAGTGGAAGGCAGAGATTGGCTACACAACGTTTTAGAACTGATGACGGAATGCCATCAGGTCCGGAGGCGAACGATAGCTTCAGTCTGCGTGTTGCGGCTATCACCATGTCTTCTGAAATGCGCGGAATAACGAAACTAAACACATCACGTGGCATCCCAACAGCAGCATCCAGCACTTGTGTTGGCGAAGCGGAGAAATCGTTGAACACTTGCTTGAAATGACGAGCAAACAAGTCGCATTTTTCTCTTTCACTATTAGCCGAGTCATTCCCGAGAAACATGGAACAACAACAACATGGAACAACATGCAACCCGGATTCCTTCCGTTTTGAGTTGACAAACGACCAAAAACTTTTCGGATTCGTGCAAAGGTTCGCTTCCGTGCGTCTCACGTGTCGATTATAGAGAAAACGATTGTAATTTCGATAACTACGACTCGCAAAATTGAACAGTCGTTTGTAGTACGGCGAGCGAGAGTTACAATACTTTCGGAGGGCGGCAGAGCGTTGACGTTTTAGCACGTGTAGGCGTGGGTTAGACCATGCAGGCTTTGGCGGTGGTCGTCGAGCTGGGACGATGCGGAAAATAACATCTTCCAGTGCAGCACTGAAAAAATCCACTGCATCATTCACGCTAGCGGCAGTTTCGATAAATTGCCAATCAATTTCCGCAAGCGCATTGTTCAATGCAACATAATCGGCCCGGCGAAAGTCCAAAGAGTAGCACTCAGATGACGGCGTAAAAAGAATCGGCGCAGGTAAACTAAATGACACGACGAGAGCGGGATGATCGGCATCTAGATCAATCAGTGGCTCGACGGGCAAGGAAACAGAAGTGCCTGGTAGTGCGGAATCATTTGCCAGGACAAGATCTAGCAAACGTCCATTTCGGTTCGGAAAAGTATTCACTTGTGTGAAACCGTAAAAGTTAAAACCGTCCAAAAGAGCACAGCAAGCAACCGGCATATGCGAAAGCAGTGGATCAATTAATGGTGTGCCACTGTCTGTAAAGCGCCACTGTAGACCAGCTTGATTGTAGTCACCAAATACAAAAGCGGGAGAGCAGGGACTTAATTGTGACGAAATTGACCCTAACGATTCCACATGCTCACGGATGATCGTGCAGTCGTTTTTGCGGTCGGGAGGCAGGTAGATTGCGCCTACACTAAGCTTGCTTTGTGGAAGTTCTACGACAATCCACAGCTGTTCCAGTTGACTGGAAATGGGTGACGTACTTACGTAGCTGGCTAGTCTAGTAGATACTGCAATCAGGACTCCGCCACCGCGCGATTTTTGGCTGTTTAGGGCAGACCGGTCAGTTCTGAAGACGGAATAGAGTGACCCGAAAAGTTGCGATGAGTAAATTCGGTCGTCCAGCCACGTTTCCGTCAGCACAATCAAATCATATTCGGCCTCCGCAACAGCCAGGAAAAACGAGTCGATTTTAGTCCTCAGCCCACGCACGTTTTGGTAGTAGATGCGGAGACCATTCGAGGAACAATCACGGGCACTAGAAATCGAAAGGACATCAGGTACCGAAAGCTCGGAATCACTAACATACTCGCCTGAGGTTGCAGGCCGGAAGCCCCCGATACCATCACCGACCACAGGACCGGGACGATGACGATGGCGGATGTCTGCAGCTAGCGCGACTGGGTCGGGAGGTTCGGAAGCTTCCTCAGTGCCTGTTTTAGGGTGTCCCGGATCCGAGGAAGAGCAGGTGGCGGCATAAACCTGCTGGTAGTTGGCAGGACGGATGCATGGACATGATGTGGCTAGTGTGGAGATCGCAGAACCGGAAACACAGCTAAAAGTTGAAGCGGTATCAGGCAAAGGAGAAGCTGAATCGTCAATATACTTGCCAGTAATAGCTGGTTGGAAGACCCCCGACCTACATCTACACTCAGGGCCGAGACGACTATGCAGAGCGCTGGCTGGAATAAGCGCGACTGAGGCAGAGAAATCAGGGGCTTCCACAGTGCTATCCACGATGCGTCTCGGTGGTGATGGTGGTGGTCCAGAAGCAATAAAGGTAGCAGCATTATTCTTGGAAATCGTGTAAACATCATGAAGTGTTGCACTGGAACACGGAAACTGATCAGGCAAATGACTGTAACTAATGTATGCATACTTGCCTGACGACGATGCTCGGGAGACCTCACCACCGAACTCGACCGCAGGGCCAGAACGACTCTGATGGCAGGAAATAGAACGGCTTTGATGGCGGGAAACAGCTAGCGCGACTGGATCGAGTGGTTCGAGGTCTCCCATAATGCGACAGGCAATGCGTTCTGATCTATAGCGCTCCAATTCACAACGCAAAATCCAATTCTGAATCAGCAGACTGGGTCTAGTCCGGAAATGGGAGTTGAGAACTCGGAAGGTCCCGGAATAGGAGAGATCGTGATGGTAGGCGTGTTCAGACGAGGCAACCACATGTTTTTTGAGCCGTCTTCAAATTCACGGAACAAAATTCCTTTCGGCCATGTATCCGATCTAAGAGCAGCTTCGCGTAGATTGGGATCCATTCCGACTTTGTACGAGATGAAGCTCATACGGCTGATGTCGGATCCTTTTTTGACTAGTGGCACAACCTTAATCGGATCTTCACACTGTACACAACCTTTGACCAGCTTCTCGATTGATTCAGATTTCACGCTAGGATGAATACGAGAAAGGTACAGCCAAAACAGCTCGGTGGGTTCAGGGACAGTAAGAACCTCGGTAAAGGCATTGTCGCCTGTTACTGCTTTAGAACCACCAACAAGTGGTTTGCTAGTGAGCGAGCCTTCATCGCGGCGCCGTTTTAATGGCGGTTGACGCATGAAATCGGAGTTTGTCGGAGTTGTCAATGCGATTCGTTTCGATAGCTGAGCGATCTGCTGTTCTTGCTTAACCATTTCCTTCCTAAGCTCAGCGTGTGCGATTTCCTGTCTCTCGGTGATAGAATTAATCACACTGCCAAACGACGAGACGGCAGTTTTGAACCGAGCACGTTTCATCAGCTTGGCGCACTCGTTACACATCCAAAACAGGTTCGGGCTAGTGTGGACAATATTCAAAAAAGCCTTATTTAGCTTTGTGCCGCCGCACTTTAGGTGAATCATCCTGTCGCAAAAAGCCATGCAGGAGATGGATTCTTCATCGCCTTTAACTGGTTTAGCGCATTGGTCACAGGCGGAAGTCATGCTGACTCAGTTTCCAAAAGTGATTTAGAAACAGCGGTGGAGATGCTCTAATACGCAAAGAGGAATTGGATTCTGAAGATCGCCCAATGCTAGTCTGATATCGACAATAACACAACAGTATACACTACAATATGTCCGATAGAATAACTTTTTCACTGTTTTCACAACACAAAATATGCTCTAATTAGACGATTATTGCAACGAACTGCACTTTCCACTAACAACCAGTACAATATTACAGGTATACCGAACGGAAAAAAACGAATAACGATAGCCCGTGTGATAAAAAATCGACAAATTTAACAGTGCACAATCACGACGATGTGAATAACAACAACTGTCATTACGAGCTTTGTTTTCTGAGTACAACGATATTTTTGTCAATCCCGTAGACATTCATCTCGATTTTTAAATTAAGATTTAAATTTTTGATCGTTGACACTAAATCTATTCGTTGACAGCTACCCAAATTTGAGTTTAGTTCACTCATAATCGCCAAAAGTGCAGGAACTCAGCGATGAGTAAAATTTGTCTCATGGTTTCCTGAGGAAAACCTAAAAAATCTGCCGGAAAATGAGGAAATTGACGAAAATTTTATTCATTCTCGGAGTAGTACCAATAGACTGAGTGAATCCAATCTTTACTTTTCTCAAATTCGGGAATTTTTCCCTGGAAAATCCTGGAAAAACCTGGGAAAACATGAGAAAAATTTACTCATCGCTGAATTCCTGCACTTTTGGCGATTATGAGTGAACTAAACTCAAATTTGGTTCGCTCTCATTCGCCGTGCTTAGTAGGACGAAAATTAGATCAAAAACCCTATTATCATCAAATCTTGACTAAATACTCATTTTATATGATAGTCCAAACACATTTCAACGTTAAAAAGTTGGAAAATAAATTATGACCGACTTTTGTATGGAGCCACCCCACTGTGGACCTGCATTATCCTCGTATTTAATCCCGGTCACGAATGTCTGGCTGCTTTGACGTCGACATCGGTGTTAATCAATACGATCCCAAGTAAACATTTGGCAGTCTATCAAGGCCAGTATTAAAAGTTAATCCGAGTTTGAGCTTACTGACATTGATAAATAGTTCGATTAGTATAGATTGTCATTTCGGAGTAAATAAAAACATTAAAACAAATGTAATGGTGCAGACTAGGAACAAAAACAAAGCAACTCATTCATCAAAAGGATCATTCTTATTTAACTGTGGGTGCTAGATAGAACTGAGCGTGAAAATGCTTGTAAAAAGTGTATAGCATCTTAGGACTGCCAACTAGCCGAACATTGCAAATCGTTCATTCAAGTTGTTTCAATTTTAATTTCGGCTAATCTGGCTAATCTAACTGGCATGCAATATCTAGTGCCTAATTCAGGATGGATGCATATTGTCGCACTTGTTCTGGAGTGGGTGACACTCGAGTGTTCAACCTGAGCACCGTGTCACAGATCAGCAGTGTGCGAATTGAAGACATGCTAATATATTGTACACAACTGGAGGTACGTAAGCCCATGGTAAAGTATTAACATTGTTTACAAGTCATAACATTTGCATCGACCATTTCCAGGTAACCCCAGAAGATAATTTGCCGCAGCAGATTTGTTTCAACTGCTTCATGTCACTGAACTCGGCATTTGAGTTTCGCAAACTTTGCTACAAGTCAGATAATGCTTTTCGGGAAACACTTCAAACCACTCTACAGGAAATGGAAATTGTTCCGAAATTAGATGTAAATCAAATAACGGATCAATGCCCAGCAGGTGTAATGATCAAACAAGAATGCCTGGAACTGGATGAGTTTACCATATCCATTATAGGCGACATTGAAAACTGTTCGGACTCGAATGATTTTCCCACACACGATCAGATGCAAAATGAAGCTAGGAAAAAATACTCGTGCGAAAAATGTGACTTTACCACTGATTCAGCAAATATATTTAAAAGGCATAAAAATCGAAAGCACCCTGTTCAGATCAGGAAGACTGACAATGTTGGTCCGGATAGCTTAAAAGCATGCTCTCAAGTAAAAAGAATGCGTACTATATACAAATGTGGAGAATGCTTCTTCCAGAACTACTCCGTCACTAAACTTAGAATCCACCAGGCCAGTAAAGGCCACACAAAGTTAACAACATATCGAGGAGTTTTGCCTTTGAGAAGATTTGATGAAAGAAAGGCTTACACATGTCCCCATTGTGGAGCCCGATTCGGCTATAAGGAAAATGTGAACAAACATATCCAGGTAGCATGTCGAGCATTTCACAACAATGCGCTCAAAATTGAAGAATCCGCAATAAGAAATGATCAACTTGCGTCCTCGATCAAAACTCCTGATGAGATAAAGTTTCGCATCGAATATCGCTGCTCAAAGTGCAAACAATCATTCGTCGCTAGATCGGCTTATGTTCGTCACAAGAAGCAGAATGAATGTCCCTCAGCATCATCCAAGAAGCAGGACAATTTATTGCCTTATAGGTGTGATTTTTGCAACTATAAAAGTTCTAGAAGGTTAAACCTGTACAGACATCAGATCGCACGGTGCAAAGAAGGGGTACGTCGTCGTGAGAATCTTCTATGAAGTCAAATGATGTTTTTTTTTGCTTCATTACAGGTCTACCTGGATGAAACATTGGAACCGCAGAATATCTTAGGTGATACCTTAACGAAGGTGTACAGCGATTCGAAAGCCATTGAGGGGTTGAAATTAGAATCTGGTGAGGTTAGTTTTATCCATCTAGTTGTAATTAAAATAGGTAGCAATTAAACGTTGTTTCTTTACAGCCAATCTTTCCCACCGAATACCTAACGGATGAGTACGACAATATCGGTACCTATCGTCCGCCGATCAAGCTGATAGACTCCGTTGAAGAGTTTCAATACTTTCTCGTAATTAAAATGCGAGGTTTACGTTGCTGTGCTTGTAGCGTGTTCTTCCTAGATAAAGCGTCTCTCGACGAACATCGGCGGACAGTGCATCTTTCGTCGGTCTGCAAAACTTTTAACGAAACAACTCAAATTTGTGAAAATTGCCGTTTACCCTTCTACCGATCGGATGGTTTCAACTATCACAGACAGTTGGAGCTGATTAATCGATTACTATTTTGCACCACTTGTGAAGTGATGGTGATCGGAAACACCGCATGGCTGGCCCACTGCAACACTCACCACGGCAAGAGAAACCTCGATGACAGCTACGAGAAAGTGTTCATCGGGGAGAAATTTCGATGCTGTAACTGTTACGTCCTGAAGGCTACTTTGGAAGCACTGGAGTCGCACCAAATGGAGGAGCATTTCCCGGAACGACTGAAAGATCAAGGAGCAGTCGAATACGAGTGCGACAAGTGTTTTAGACCGTTCGCTACAATTGACCAATGGGAGCGGCATATGGAAGTTAGGACGGCAAAGAAATTTTACCGGTGCGGAATATGTCATATGGAGTTTTTACTGGAAAAAGATGCCATCGCTCATCAGGACTCAAATGATAAATGTAAGGTGGTATCTAAAAAAAACTTGTAGGATATGCTTGTTCGCTCATATTGCACGAGTTCTGAAATGTGTGCCTACCTACTCCTACTAGGTATTGAAAATCTTAGAAACTATCGCGTCTGAGTTGAAAATAAATACATGGCTTTTAAAACCTACTATTGGTATCACATGACCCAAATAATAAGATATGTGTTTCATGCTCATACGCACAGAAAGAGACGAACCCCCTCCATTATAGGAAGCAGCCTTTATAAGCTTACGCATCGTTTATTAACTGATTTTAAAAGGTAAATCTTAGCTTGCAATAATGAGAGATAAATTAATGTCTGCGCCAATGTGATAGGAGGCAAATTCTCCGCTAATTGTAGCCATGATGCCGTAAATGCCTTTTTCGTTTTATATCGATAATGTTCATTGGCAGACTCTAAGCACCGGCGCCCTCCTTCTTGCCTCCCTTCTTATCCTTCTTAGCTGTGGCAGCCGCGGCTTCCAGTTCGATCGGGGCTGGCTTCACGAACGGAATCTCATCTCGGTACTGCTCCGGCATGTACTTTTTCAGTGGTTCCGGAACCTGCAATTCAAAAGGTTGCACATTTTAGCATCCAACATTTTGGACACACTATTCAAAACACCCTACCTTGATGCCGGTTTCCGTTTGGTGCGTCTCCAGGATGGCGCAAATCACACGCGTCGCAGCACACATGGTGGCATTCAGCATGTGCACATAATCCACAGCAGCGTTCATCTTCTTCGTTTGTCCGTAGCGCACCAGTAATCGTCTCGCCTGGTAGTCCAAACAATTACTACAGGAAACCAGCTCTCTGAACGCACCCGAACCAGCGAACCACGCTTCCAAATCCAGCTTCTTCGAGGCAGCATGATTCAATGCTCCGGAAACGATGTTGACCACACGATACGGAATGCCCAACGATTGACAGAACTGCTCGGCGTTGGCAATCATTTCGTCCATCATCTCCCACGATTTGTTGTCATGGGGGGAAGTCAGAACAAATTGCTCCACCTTCTCAAACTGGTGCACTCTGAAAATGCCACGCGTATCACGTCCATGAGATCCCACTTCCTGACGGAAACAAGTGGACAATCCGGCATATTTTATAGGAAGTGACGCTTCCGGAATCCACTCGTCCCGATGATAAGCAGCAATCGGTTGTTCCGATGTAGCAATCAGGTACTTCTCATCGGTACCACCTTCTTCTGACCTTTCACCTCCCTTGCCAACCACCTTATAAAGCTCCTCATCGAACTGAGACAGCTGAGCCACTTCTTGCATCACTTCCTTTCGCATAAAGAATGGAGTGTACAATGGAGTGTATCCCTTACCGTATAAACTGTGCAGTGAATGCTGAATCAGTGCTTGCTCGAGGAACACGGCTGGCCCGGTCAGAAAATATCCTCGACCACCGGATACAACCGCTCCCTTCTCCCCATTCATGCCATCGATCATCACAATCAGATCAACGTGAGAATACTTCAATCGCTTCTCGCAATCTCCAAATGTCCGCTCGACCTTATTCTCATCCTCATCGTTGCTAACCGGCACACTTTCGTGCAGGTGGTTTCCAACTTCCCGCAGGGCCGAATTTCTCTTCGCTTCCGCCTCATTTAGCTTCTTTTCGTTCTCCACTACTGCAGCATCGATTAATCCTCGCACTTGCTTGATTTGATTCACCGTCAACTTTTTCAGGTCCTCACTCTTCAGCGCCAGCAAATCACTCGCCACTTCCTCCGGTACCGCTTGATCTTCCGCTCCTTGTGGTTCCTTCTTTTTCATCTTCTCTCCGATTTCCTTGCTGCACAGGTTTTTCAGCTTGTTGAAATTGTCCGCATTGAAGCGACATTTTCGCCACTCACCGTCCTGTCCGATCACCGTTTCTACCAGCACCACATCCTTGAAGCGAAGCTCCTGGTTCTTTTTTACTTTGGCCGGATCGTGGCCCTTGTCGCTGCGGAACAGATCCAAATCGAGAACCATGGTGACTATTCGAGTAAAATCACTGATTCAAACTCGGCAACTGGCTGATGAAATAATAATCCTTTTGCGGATTAAATGCACCGAACAGTGGGGAAAGGATCGTGACTCCCGTTCTAAACGTGGCGAATGATTGGTTTGCAGAATTTGACAGTTAACACGCCAGTGAAGCAACTTCGGGTTCACCTTCGGGAATGATGGTGTAATGACGAGGGGAGCGTCGATGGCGATGTGGTGTAACACTTTTGGTCCATGCAAATATTACGTCCACGCCAAGACGAATCGGAAAAATTTGACCTTCTCCGATTTGTATGAAGGATTGCGTAATTGGGTTTTTAAATGGTATTGAGGTAAATTGCATATTCGTTAACGATTGAACCGAAATCCAAAATTCATCAATTTTGGTACAATGGAACTATTTTAAATAAATGCGATTACATTAGCAAAAAATACCAACTCAGCACACCTGCGTGGGACTTTGTATGAGAGCGACCTGTCAATTTATTACTTTAGTGTCAAAAAACAGTGAAGATATTATTTTGATTTAAATATCGAGATGAACGAAGCTCGTTCAGATGATATATGAGGGGGCTAGAAGGAAAGGGCTGTAAGTGACTTCGATCGATTCACTTCATCGACTTTCTCTTTTGATAGCCACAGCTTTATAAACAGATTTTGCGCTATTTCTGCCACATAGTTTGATAAAGGAGATTCTCATCTAGCATCCAGAATGGCACACGAATCAAGGAATGTGTTTGCAGCTGAATTATTAACGAAAGAGAAAGTCGATGAAGAGAATCGATCAAGGTCACTTACACCGCTTTCCTTCTAACCCCCTCATATGAAAATCGCTATATTATTTCAAGAGCAAATTTTCATTACGTCGAATGGTAGACAAAGGTAAACAAAGTCGAGCTATCAGTGTCAATCGATTCTCCTGCTATTACACTATATACTGTCCGAATATAGGATCAAATCCCATTTTTAAATTTATTTGCCAGTCAAATTGCTTTTTGACGTAATCACCTTCCTATCAAAATAGTTTTCGATGTTACTTAAGTCATCCAATTTCTATGGAGATGCCGTTTGACTTAAGTAACAGCGCTGAGAAACCCGTGAAAAGTGTACGTTCGTCGTTTCGCTTTCTCATTATTAAAGAGAATAAATCGAACTGTTTGTTGCTAAGATGATTTCGGTGGTCCTAAAATGATGAATGGGCTGCACGTAAGGAGACGTAATTGATAATTCTCCCGAATATCCTGGTAAATACACTTTGACTTAAGTAACAATAGGGGCCACCAAACGACGTATAATAACTTTTGACTCAAAAACCAGTATTTTTTAGCATGAAAGCTAGCAATTTGCATTTGTATGATTAAAACCCTGCTGAATATGTTAGACATTGCTATCACTATGAGAATGGAAATAGGAATAACTTTTCGGTCATCAAAACAAAACTTTATTTTTCTCGGATTGGTGCGCATGTTACTTACGACATAATGAAAATTTGCTCTTGATATATGATTCACACTTCTGCAAACATTCGGCCATTGTAGATCTGGAATTATCAAAATGGCTTCTTTGAAATTAAAAACAAAATTGTACGGAAACCTCGACGCAAACGGCAAACAATAACCACAATACACGCCTAGCTCACACCATCTATGATACTTATAAAAATGCAAACCTTTGGAATGTTCAAAACCACAAAACAGCTCAAAAATTTTATCAAAAGTTCTTGTTTTACGATTTCTGTCAATTTTTAAGTGTCCATAATTCCAAACATTCCAAAAATTTGCATTTTTCACGAGTTTTTTTTTAAATAAAATTAAAATCGAAAAGGACATTTTTTAAATATTTAGGTTTTTAACATATTTTAAAATTTTTACTAGAAATTACTAAAAACATTATTGGTATACTTTAACAGAAAAATAAATCTCTACAACTTTGTCTCAGACGTTATTTCGATCGGAAGTGCCGTTTTCGTGCTACAATTTTTGGAAACATTTAACAGGATCCAAAATGATCAAATTTTATCAAAAATGTGAATCATTGCCCATAACAAACAATTGTGCAAAGTTCCATTCGATGCAAATAGGAGAAGGATGAGTTTTTTTTTCGATTTGTTAATTGGCATGGAACTGCTCAATGAGGAAATACTCAAACCTCTCTGAAAATTCGCTCGGAGCAATTACATTTTAGCGGCACAGATGACGCTATTTTGCCTGTCCTAAAGCGGTCGTATGGGAAAACGAGAGGGTTGCCAATCTTCTTGATATGTCGTCTTCGGCCTTGCTTTATTTCCCACACCTTTTTAGTGAGAAGAGCAGTTCCACGCAAAATGACACACGATCTGATGCGACCTTCTCCGATTTGCATGAAACTTTGCATAATTGTTTGTTATGGCCAAATATACACCTTTAAGGTAAAATTCAGCCATGTTGAATTTCGCAAAAAACTTTTAAATTACGTATTTGATATTTTAAAACCAATAATAACTCTAAAACGACACTTCCAATCGAAATGACGCATTAGACAAAGTTTTAGTTGAAAATAATGGCTTTTCTGGAAAAAACATACATGGTGAACAAATTCAAGCCATTTAAAATAACAAAAAAAATACACTCTTTTTGGACAAAAAAGTAATCTTCTTAGAAATTTTTAAGATGGAAACTAAAAATTAACACAATTCATTTAATAACATATAAAGAGAGAGAGAGAGAGAGAGAGAAGAATCCCCTAGTCTATGGAGCGTTCGGATAGTTTTACGCAAAATCCAAACGTCTCTGGCTTCCTTATCGATAAAATATCCTTCTAATCGCAATTCCCTTCTATTGGCTAGGATCAAAGAGACACACTTACTTGTTACTGTTTGCTACAGCAGCACATTCTGAACTCCACACGAATGATACAATTAAATTATTACTTTCGTCCTCTGCCACTTCCGGCCAGCTGCACACCGACCGGATTCAACAGGGATCACTCGTCCATCTGTTCGTTCAGCTGTGCGAGCAGGGCAGCCCGTTGCGATTCCAGCTCCGACTCGGACAGGGCAGCATCGTCGGAAATTTTGGGTGAGCCACCCCCATTGCGACCGGAACCACCATTCTCCGGCGATCGATGCTTACCGCTGCTAACCGAGCGGGAACGACGCTTGTCCTTCTTCTTTTTGTCTTTCTTTTTCTGCGAAGGAAATTTTGCCATTCAGCTCGGCAATGATGGATAGGAGAAATTCAAAATTAGCATACCTTCTTCCGCTCGACTTCCGGCGAAGGAGATCGCGAAGGAGAGCCACCACCACCGTTCTTCGTCTCCAGAGCGGCATTCTCGTCGTACGACGGAGACCGCGAATGCTTCCGGTGCTTCTTTTTCTTCTTGCGCTTCCGTTCGCGTTCGCTTTGTTCGTCGCTTTCGGATTCCGAGGACTTGGAGCGTGACCGGGATCGGGACTTGCGCTTCTTCTTAGAGGGTTTCTCGTACTCCGGTTCCGATGCTTCGGATTCCTGTAAATTAAACAGATTGTTTTACAAATTGAAACTACCTTCATATGATGATGATCTTACCGATTTCGATGACGAGCGGGACTTCTTTTTGTGCTTCCGGTTCTTCTTGGATTTTTTCGAACGCGAATGGTGATGACTGCAAGAGTCTTCCGCCTCCTTAATGAACTCCTCCCACAATCGTTCTACCTTGTCTTCCTTCTCGTACAAATCGAATACCTCTAGATCGATGACCAACTTCTGAGCCGTCTCCCAGCTGTCGACCGCTGAGAGGCCAGCTTCAATCCAAACTCCCTTTAGCTCGTTCTCCATCTTCCGAATGCGACGAGTTTCTTCCTTCAGCCGCTCCTTCTCGGCTGCTTCCGCTTTCTCCAGCAGGGAGTTGTAGGTCAGCTTGACGTTACCGGCATCTAAAGTGGCAGATCGCTTGTCCTCGCATACCACCGTAGCGAAATCCTCGAAAGTCGTTATCGACTGAACCACAAATTCTTTCTCCTTAAGAATTTCTTTGATTATTTTCTTCTCATCGTGGAAGCGTGCTTTCAGATTTTCCACGTAAAATTTGAAAAGATCCAACGGAGTAGAACCTATCTGTCCGAGCATGGCGGAGAAACGCAAATCTGCTGAGATGATGGGGTAAAGCTCGACCCAAAGCGACATCGATGTAAGTTTGCCTTCTTCGTGCAAAGTGTCCAACAGAGCAAGGAATTGATCCCGATTCTTACGCTGTTGCCGTTTCATGCGCTTCTTTTCACGCTCCTTCTCTTCGTCCTCCTCACGTTCCAAGGTACGAATGTGCTCTTCAAATACTATCAACGCGTCTTCCTTGTCCATGCCCAGCAAATTCACATCGTTCTTAAACGAGCTATTCTCTAGAAGCATCACTTGCGCCTCGGACCATGTCGTTTGATAAGTGACCGTGGTCATCGCTTCCAAAAGTTCCCCAAGAACACGCATGTTTCGTTTCTTGAGAACTCTCGCCTCTTCCTTTTCCCGTTTCGACAGGTTGAATATACAATCCTCGTAAATGTCCCGACGATCCTGCTCCGGAACCGTCTTCCAAACATCCAAATTGGCGAACATTTCGTCACAACGATAGTACTTCAAGGTGGAGTTCATTTTATCCGACGACATGAGGAACTTCTCCAGTTCCTCTTTGGACTTTTTAACCTTTAGGCGTTGCTCCTCCTTTTCGTCCTTCTGTTTTTGCGTTTTGTACGCATTAAATGCTTGTTTCTTTTCCTGCAGCTTCTTGAACACGTTAAACTTGGGATCCTTCTGAACAATCTTCACACACTGTTCCCAGTTCGCACTGGATGGGATGTTCTTTTCCTTCAGGAATTCCTTGAACGCTTCAATGGCCTCTTTCTTATCTTTAAACTCGATTACGGGTTCCTCCTCCACTGGTGGTTTTTCTTCCTCCTCTTCCTCCTTCTTCGGTTCCGGATCTTCGGGAACTTCGATAGCTGCTAACGTTGCAGCCATCGCCTGATCCAAAGCGGACGATGAATTTTCCGCCGAACCGGGAGTGACTCCGGCTAGCGATGTTATTGAAGTAAGTGATTCACTGGCCGCTATCGCAGGGGACATGACCGGCATCACTACCGGAGGTATCATCATCGGTATTCCACCCGCCGCGGCAACAGTCTTCAGGGCAGCTGCTTTCGCCGCATCAGCTGCCACCTTCTCCGCGTCAACTTTTTCCTTCAATTCCAAATACTCCGGCGGTGCTACCCATTGGGATTCCTTGGTGTTGATGTTGTGATAGTACACTTTACCTTGATCCGACCGGTACTCCTTCCAGGGACACTGTGAAAGTAGTTTCTCATTCGGAGATTTCAGCTCGTCCGGCTTCTCCCACAGGCTCTGCTTGGTGACACTGTTGTAGTAGTAAATTCGCCCGTCGGGTGCCTTGTGTTCGGTCCACTCACTCATCAGCGACCCACCAACCAGCGGGATCATCGGAATGGTTGAAGGATCTGCTGCAGTAGCAGTCGTGGCACCAACAGGAGCACCGAATCCGGGAGGTGGAACACTAAAGGGTACCATCGCCGGAAAGGGCTGCATGCCGGCAACCGGCGGAACCGACATTATGGATCAAACTAAGCCAATTTTGGCCGAAATTTTCCGAAAAATCGCGTCGCTCTGAAACCGCGTCGATTTTTTTTCACTATTTCACCGCAAGCGACACCGCTGCGTGACGTTTGACGTTTTTGACGTTTCGCCTCTAACGCTTCCTTTCACGGCCAGCCAGATCAGCTCAAAATTGAGCCGAATCGACTCATAATTTACAGAGTTAATCATTTTGTTCGACCATTTTCCACAGAGATGGCGCTGTTCCGCTGGTAGGAAGTGATAAAAATCCCCATATAGAAATTGAGAGAAGTGGGAATAATTCACTTTCGGTGCATATTCAGGTCAAAAAAAAGTGAACAACAACCTAAAAAAATTAGTCAGGGGCTGTGTCATTCAGTGTTTTTCCCGGAAATTAATGCTAAACAAGCTACAATTAAATAAAAATGATTTTCCCCATACAATTTTACCTGCTTTACTACCAGTCCCCAGAGAGCCAAAAAAATTCAAATTTGAGAGAGAAATTCTCTCTCACGAGCTCAATCTCTTAACATGCCATGTATTTTGATGACACTCGATTAGTGATTTCCCTTTCACAGATTACAAAATAGAGTACCTTTCACTACAAAACATGTCTGGTACCTCTATATATGCATTTGCTTTAACATTTGAAGTCCCTCCTTTTTTACATATTCTGTGCAAAAGATACTTTATCGCCCCATGCATAAAATTCGGCAGGAAATTCTGTGAAGGGGGAGGTACTTTGTGTGCAGAATGTGTAAAAAGGAGGGACTTAATAATAATAATCTAAATGGGTATATATAGGTACCAGACATGTTTTGCACTGCAGTGTCCTCTGTGAACAATTAACGGAAAACAGATTGTGTCTAGTTGCCGATAGATGTCACCGCAAACAACAGCAGTGACATCTTATGGAACATGAATGCAGAAGCTTGACAAAATGATTAGTTGGGAGAAAATTCTACACGGAGAAAAAATACTACCCAAAATGTTAGTTCTTTTTACTTAATTTTGAGTTAAGTCTCTCACTTGCACTCCTTGGCGATATAGATCAGCCCAATAAGTTACTTTTGAGTAAATTGCAGATTCTCAAATTTACGTGAATTAAACTTAATTTTGGGTAGAATAAACTTAAGTATAAGTATTTTTTTGTTGCTGGTGTTAAATTGAAATTACTCAATTTTGGGTTATTGGCCAGAACCCCGGAATTGAGGGAAAAGTAATTAACTTTGGGCATAAATTTTATTAATTTTTGTACTAGAAATTACTCATAAATGTGTAAAATTTTAGTCTTTGTATGGATAGTCCCGCTTTCTTTCAAAAATGCGTACTTTATAGTAATTAAAGAGTTTTTTGTAATAACAGTGTATATACTATATATTCCATAGATAAGCGGAGGCACAAAAAGCTGTTTTGGCAATCATGAAAAATAAATGATCTTACTGGCATCCGTGAAAAAAATTCATACCGTCATAGATCATGATCATAGAGCTCTTCGTTGTGCAATTTTATTTTGTTTCGTACGTAAAAGTTCAAAATGAAGTGCAAAGCAAGTCTTTTCAACAATGTATCGAGGAATGGTTTGCTTTATCTTTCCTTCTTCCGTTGTCCGCGAAATAAATCGGAATGTGGAGTGTGGAAAGCGTTTTGTGCTCATAATATTACAATACTTCTCCCTCAAACAACACCATGATGATGTCATGCTCGTTTGGCTACACTAGCTGACAGTTCGTTTGGCTACATTATACCATAGAGGTAACTCTAAGACTAGAAGGTCCCGAAATAACGTCACAAACGAAGTTACAGACGACTAACTGGCGAAGAAATCAATTAAAATAATGTGGTTCGCTGTAATAGAATTTTCTTAGAAGCTTGTGCCATCAGCCACCAGATGGGCTAGTATTTTTGTTTTGATTTGAACATAGTTGATTTTGTGTGCAATATGATCTTTGACAGTGTGCAAAGAGTGTATCATTTTGTCATTTTTTAATGCATTTCAGTTTAGAGTAGAGTGAAAGAGATAGAACCAAAACATTCCAGTACATTTAGTGTTGCCATGTGGTACAATCCATTAGTAGTGTTGCCATGTGGTACAATCCAGTAGTAGTGGTGTTGCCATGTGGTACACTGAAAAATTGCAATAGCAGGAGCGTCACCAAAGTTTTCGAGCCGCTCCGTCTGTCACTTCGTTTGTGATATAACGTTGTACGATGTACATCGATATTGCGAACAAAATTACATCCATTGATGTATTATCATAGAGGCAACTCTAAGACTAGAAGGTTCCGAAATAACGTGCCTAACTTTTTGGCTCAGCTCTGGTACTCTCTTCGGTCCCAAGCTAATCGATTCACCCCTCGAAACATAGGAAAAACCAATAACCCCTCATTTTATCTATATCAAACTTTCATAGCGAATCAAAACAAACATTGCGTAGTACTAGAATTTCGACTAGAATGGGGTACGTTAATCGTTTGCTTGGGACCAATAGGCTAGTCAAGTAGTGAGCCAATTTAAAATCGTTAGTTTCGTATTGATTGTTGGTAATATCATAGAGGTAACTCTAAGACTAGTAGGTCCCGAAGAAATGTGCTCATCTTTTTGGCTCAGCTCTGGTACTATCTTCGGTCCCAAGCTAATCGATTCACCCCTCGAAACATAGGAAAATCTAATAACCCCTCATTTTATCTGTCAAACTTTCATAGCGAATCAAAACAAACATTGTGTAGTACTAGAATTTTGACTAGAATGGGGTGCGTTAATCGATTTGCTTGGGACCAATAGGCTAGTCAAGTAGTGAGCCAATTTAAAATCGTTAGTTTCGTATTGATTGTTGGTAATATTGTATCTGCTTTTTGCTATTACATCATTATTTCATACATCAGCTTGAATTACGTTGATCGATATTACATTTTTTTTGCTATGTGTGCCATTCCCAACTTAGTTTACCCATTTTTGGTTCCATTTTGACCGATCTGGGTTGATTCTTCCCAAAATTGGGTAGTTTTGAAATAACGAACAACTAACGGTTCAGTTTAGTACTACAGTTTTGGACAAATTTTATATCAGGCGCCACTGTTCAAAGATTGAGTACCAGATTCAATGTGTATAATCTAATACTACACTACACTGATCGTCCTAATTTGACTGGTTTGTTTATTGTTTTCTTCTGTAAATTTGAATTATTGTAAATTTGATGTATGCATTACCATATAATATTCGTAAAATACAGTGTTTGCTGTAACAGACCATGGAAGTTCGCTGTCGAATCTGCTCACGAACGGAGCCGTTTGCGTCTGTTCCGCTAAGTTCCCGACCTGAAGCTTCCCAGGAAACAATTTTCGACATGTTGGCATACTGCACTCAGTTGGAGGTATTGAAATACATTAAATTTTGCCATGAAAGTTCAACTAAAATTGAACAGTGTTTTCGAACAGGTTTCACCCGACGATTCGTTACCCCAGAGAATCTGCAGCGACTGTCTCAGGAATCTGACGGGGGCATTCGAATTCAAGCGACTTTGCCATCAATCGGATGCGTCGTTTCGACAAATGCTCCGGCAGGAATCCCGTGATGGAGAACCTCCACCCACGCCAACGAAAACCGATTCGGATACCTGTCCTACTCTGGTTGATGGGACCTCCACTAAAGGTCCTCAGCGAACGATCACTTATCAGTGCTGCTTCAAACGGTGCGACCGAAAAACCACCGATTACGTTAAATTGCGGGAGCACGCGAAAAAGAACCACCAAACCAGACGGCGTGGCAATGCGCTGAGAAGACGTCAGGATCATCACTTTGTTTGCGCCATCTGCATGGGTGGATTTAGTAGCAGGCTAGAGTGGAACATTCATCGTGCTTTGCTCCGAGGAGTGCAACGAGTTTATCAATGTTTTCGATGCAGCGAATCATTTCGTACCGAGGAAAAGCTAGCGACGCATATGGTTGCGGGAGGATGTGGACAACAGGAGAAAAAAGATGAGGATAAAGACGAAGCAACAGATGCTCAACTAGTGTCACTGCAGCAGCATTTGATTCGGCAAATTTTAAAAGCCAAAGCCACGAATGGCCTAGTGAGGATCAACGAAAAAGAGTATGACACCGTACTGAAGAATAAGGCAGCTTTCCTGGGGAGCTGGCACAGGAACGAGTTGAAAAACACAAGTAAACGGGTGAAACTATTTTACGTCTGTGAAGCATGCAACTTCCGGACAGAAATTCGTGACGAAGTGGTGAGACATTTAGAGATTGGAACCTGCACGCAAGGTTTCTACATGGCACTTGGCTTCCGTGCGGTAAAGTTGCACTATGTACAATCATTGGAATGCAAAACGTGTGGCTACCGGACTGAAAGTACCGGCAACTTGAAAAGACACCAGCTGATCCACAATCATTCCGGGATACGTAGAAACAAGATAACTAAACAAGTTGCCGAAAGAGAATATCCATGCGAGTACTGTGTAAGAGTTTTCACCACTTGTAATAACCGTAAACGACATCGGAAGACATGTGCACAAGTGGCAGGGATAACGATCTCAAAAGAACCGCTAAGCATTGAAGATGTGACCCTGTGTGATCAGTTGCGGGCCTCTAAAGACAATGCTTCAAAGGAGGAGTGCGAGGAGCAGCAAGAACTTCTGTTAACAGAATTAAAGATTGAAGAGTATGATCCCCTGGAAGCGATGAATCAAAGTGCACACGAACAGGAACAGACACCAGAACCACCCACAAAGAAAGTAAAACGATCGTCTATTGGTAAAACTGTGCCAACTTGTGAGATTTGCGGCTACACCACCGATAAACGGGGCAATTTTAATCGCCATTTGAAAACGTGTCGGAAGAAACTTCCACTCAAACTGTCGACTGTACGTCATGAAACATTTAGTACCGAGGGAACATTGGCCACGCGAAAGGCTTCAGAAAGATGTCGGCAACAAAAGGAAGACGAAAAACCAATCGATAATTCGCTAGCATTACCGTGGCAGGATTTGATTAGGCGAATTCTGAAAGCCAAAGCAACGAACGGTCTAGTGAGGCTCGATGAAAAAGAGTATGACACCGTACTGGAAAACAATGCATCCTTCCTGAAACGGCTCCATCGGGTCGAGTGGAAGCATTCAAGCAAACAGGTGAAACTGTTCTACGTCTGTGAGGCATGCAACTTCCGGACGGAAATTCGTGACGAAGTGCTGACCCATTTAGATAGTGGAACCTGTGTGGAAGGTTTCTACATGGCACTTGGATTCCGCGTGGTAAATGTGCGTTGCGTGCAAATATTCGAATGTAAAAAGTGTGACTTTCGGACCGAGAATACCGGCAATTTGAGAAAACACCAGCGGAGGCGCAATCATTTCGAAATACGCACGATTAAGACAACCAAACAGGTGGCCGAAAGGGAGTATCCATGCGAGTACTGTGGAAGAGTTTTCACCACTTCTAGCAACCGTAAACGACATCGGAGCACGTGTTCACGGGTGCCAAGGAGCACGATTTCAAATGTACCAATAGGACCGCTAACCACAACATTTGAGGACACCACTTCAAAGGAGGAGTGCGAAGAACATCAAGAATCTCTGTTAACAGAATTGAAGGTCGAAGAGTATGATCTGCAGGAAGCGATAAGTCAAAGGACTAACGATCAGCAACGGGTAGCAGAACCACCCACAAAGAAAGTAAAAGGACGTAGAAAACGATCGCCTAATGGTAAAACTACTGCGTTGATTTGTAAGATTTGCGGCTACACCACCGATAAACGGGGCAATCTGAATCGTCATTTGAAAACGTGTTTGCTGAAAGTTCCTCCCATACAGTCAACCTATTTCGGTTCGACTGACTCGGAGTAATACGTAATTTATTATGACAAACGTTCTAACAATTGTTATTATGGTAGTATTAAATTATATCGACCTTATTCAACGTATCCTGTGTCGCTTCATCGCGCTTTCTACTATGCACTATCATATGTCTATTCAGGCAAAACTTTCGCCGAAACCGAAATCCACAGGTGGTGCAAATGTACTTGCGAGTCGGATCCAATTCCCGCTGGTTCCAGTCGATTCGATGGTCCATGGTGACGTGTCTCTCAAGGACACTGGGATGGTAGAACCGTCTCTCACAGTACGGACAGTTATAGTTGAGTAGCTTGGTCTTGGTCGGCAGAGCGCGGCAGCCCCGCATGTAGTGAAGTTCTAATCTCCTCTTGGAAAAGAACTTCAGGTAGCACTTTTTGCAACGCAATTTTTCCTTCTTGTTCGCCATACATTGAATAAGATGGGTGAGGTTGTTGGTAGGCTCATTGCACCATTTGCAGTTGTACATTTTGCCTGGAATTCCGTCCACCTCTCTACCAGAGTCAAAGGAAAGTTGCTGGCGGAGAGTTCGCATCTTTTCCAGTCGCTGGTGATTTCTCAAACTTATCTCGCTTTTTCTTGATGCACCGCAGTGTTTACAAATGTAACGCTTGACATCGCTTTGCTGTTCCGTTGTTGACAGGTTGCTGACTTCCTCTTGATCTGCATTAGAAACCGGAAGCACTTTTATTGTGTCCTCTTTCTTCATCTCTTCTAGCAAGCCAAAGCCACGATTGCACATTCCAGAGTTGAAGTGTATAGTCAACGATGACGGCTCGTCCGTTAAGAATCCGCACGGACAGGTGAATCTGTTCACTGTGCAAGCCCTCTCTGAGTGCCCCAACGCGGTCTCCCTCGTGAAGCCATCGTTTCCACAGGTGTTACACTGGAACAAAGGTTGAAACGAATCTTCCCGGTGAATTTGCAAGTCTTTCACAGTTTGGAAAACCTTCCGACAGATTTTACATTTTACCCCTTCTTTTTCATTCGATTCGTCTGTGGTTGACTGCTGCAGTTCTTCCGTATGTGTCTTTTCGTAATGCTGAACGCACTGCAATTCGGAGTCTTGTACCACTTCACACTTACTGATGCAGCAGTAAAACTTACTCGGATCTCTAGTTGCCATCACAGAAAAGCCCATTGAGATCAATTCACTGCGCGTTATGTCGCATTTTTCCCTCCGTGCTGGCAATGCTGAAAAGTGCAAATAAATTAGCTTATTTTTTATTTCAACTGCATAAATGACTGAAACACTGCTCACCTTGTTTCACGCGACGCGAGCGTTGTTTTTTAACCGGTACAAAGCTGGCATTTTTCCCGTAAATCTCTTCACAGCATAAGGACACCAAATGTCGCTGGAGACTGAACTTCCTGTTTGTCGTAAATCCGCAAACACAGCGGAATAACTTCGAATGTGACCTACTGTGAAATTTGTGCTCCGCTTGATCATAAGTGATGAAATAGCAAACATCGCATTTAAAAGCCTTCCTCTTCACTTGCATACTATGCTGAAGTAGTTCTTTTTCATCGTTGAAACCACGAGCGCAAATAATACATACGAACTCATCGTTCGCCCTTACAACTTCATTCAATTCTTTAGCTTGCTTATGAAGAATCATAAAGTGTTCGACCAATTGATCCTCGCTTTTAAAGTTCTCCGTGCATGATTCATTCCAACAGCAAAAGAACATTACCTCGCCCTCATCATCATCATCCCTTACCATCCCTTCCTCCAAGGCAACATCTCTTGATTCCAAGGTTTCCCGTTCAACGGTGGCCTCTAGTTTCACATCACATGCTGGATACGCCTGCAAATTGTCTGGTGGCAGTAATAACTTTTGGAAATACGACTGGGACACGATACTGGTTCGCTTCAACTCGTAGCTGATCAGAAGTTGTCCGAGACAAATCCGACAAATTTGCTGGGGTAAGCCGTCTCCTTGGTTCACCTCAAAACAGAAACAAGAAACTTAACACACAATTTGATATTTTATGATGGGTCAAAATCTTACCTTCAATCCGGTGACAAACGCCATCATATTCAATACCGTTTCGGAGGAAATTTCAGAGCGATGGTACAGCGGAAGAGAACTGTCCAAATCATCCCGACAACAGATGCGGCAGTAGGAGCGCATATTTCAAGCTGTAACAATTTATTAAAAACAGCTCGGAACACAAAATTTTAATAGTAATTATTCTCAATTATTATTGAGACATTTTGCAAGCTGGCTTCCAAATTTAAACGACACTGGCGACGAAAATGTTCACGGCCAATGAGATCAACCCAAACTTGAGTTCAGTTTACTCATAACTCGCAGAAAGTGCCGCAGGAACTCAGCAATTAGTATATTGGCGTTGACGGCGACTCTGGTAGCTATTTACTCCTATATGGTAAAATCCATAAGCAAACGTCAGACTGTGCGTGAAACATGGCGGACTACGTACTAATATCCCTTCACTCCATCGAATATTCCCATTAGGTGCCGTCAAAATCGGCCAGAAAATGAGGAAAATTTATGAAGATTTTACTCAGTATTGGAGTACCCTAATAAAAAATAACCATAAACGAACGACAACCCAAATAATTGAACTTTTCCACTAATGGTTTGGAAGATACCCAGAACACGTCGTTAAGCAAAATAACCATAACAATTTTATTAGGGTAGTACCAATAGACTAAAGGCCCACGCACATTAGATCCGGATCGGACGCGTTGCGCCAAAGTGATAGCTAAATCTATTGTCTAACTGTCAAATTTACGTCAACGCAACGCAAACGGATCTAAAGGCCGGCGCACAATGAATACGTTTTCAGGTTTTTTAACAGTTAACCCATACATTATCTGTCAAAAAACCCGAAAACGCATGCATTGTGCGCCGGCCTTAATATGGGTGGCCCTTAAGAGAATCCAATCTTTACTTTTCTAGACCAACAATTGAAATAGGCGGAACAACCAAATGTAAACAATGGCTTTAAACGCAAATTCCTCGATAATCAAAACACAATCTAACACCACCATCTGATAGAGCAAACTTCCTTTATCGAATGACATGGTTAGCTTGCGTGGAAGTGGTAAGCGTGATTGCCTCTCACCCCAGCAGGCCTGGGTTCAATCCCAGACGGCGCCGCCGGGATGTTCTGAGGTATAACATCTCTGATCACGAGGGGAAGTAAAGCCGTTGGTCCCCGATTCATGAGTTGATGAGTCGATAGGTAGGGTCCATTGACAAAAACAAATCAAGGAAAAAAACAAGAAATTTTTTCTTGGAGAAACCTGGAAAACAGATGAGGCAAATTTACTCATCGCTGAGTTCCTATACTTTGTGCGATTTATGAGTAAACTGAACTCAAATATGGGTTGATATCATTGGCCGTGTTCCAATCCAAACAAAACATTTCACATCCTCTTTGTTTTGGCTTTTTTGACACTCGCTTGCCGTCTAACCTACACGCTAACTTGAAAGTACTCATTAATGAGTAAAAAAAGACCCATTTTGAAGAAAAGTGGCTTAACTCATTAATGATTAAACAATTTTACCCATTAATGAGTATCTGTTACCCATTAATGATTAACAATTACTCATTAATGGGTAACAGATGCTCATTAATGAGTAAAAAATTTACTCATTTAATGAGTTAAGCCACTTTTCTTCAAAATGGGTCTTTTTCAACCATTAATGGGTACTTTCAAGTTAGCGTGTAAGAGGAAGAGGAGACAACCCCTAATCAAAATAATCATAAAAGAGAGCTTAACGACGTGTTCGGGGTATCATCCAAACCATTTGTGTGATAGTTTACCCAACAGGAATACAGTTCAGTTATGGTATTTGTTTATTAGGGACTAGCTTCTTATTCTTTTATCTCTATCTATATCTATCTCTATCTCTATTTTACGCACTAATAATTAGCCAATCACGAGCTGGTTCGCGTTTGACAGAAAAGTTGTTCGTTTTCACCCCCGTATTGTCTCCTCTTCTCTTAGCGTCTAATAGTACGTTCAGACTACAGAGTTATAACATGTTATAGCGCTATCTTGATGGCGGTTTCTGTGTTGCAATTAGTTGACAACCGTTATAACATGTTATAACGGTTGTCAAATAATTGCAACACAGAAACCACCATCAAGATAGCACTATAACATGTTATAACTCTGTAGTCTGAACGTACTATAAGTTTGCGTATGAAAAGTTAAATTGGATAGGTAATATTATTGTCACAGACAAACAGACATAACACATTGAATATTTCTCACTGTAAAATATTGACGCTAAAACATTACCGCCATCTGTTGAGTACACTGTGGTGGGCACTACACTGAACAGATGGCGGTAGTGTGTAAACGTCAAACGCAAGGGAATTGACTATGCGTGCCACAGGTGGTGGTACTACCAACTACGATACTTTTAAATTGTCCGTTAAATGCTTGTTCGATGAACAACGTGCGAGAGTTATGTCTGTTTGTCTGTGTTATTGTTATTCAACAGCTGTATTCTCGTTATGTTCTCACGAAATATTCGCTCGAGCACAATGAAATACAGCTACACAGGCTCTGTAACAAAGTTCAAGGCGTTTCCGGTGTAATATATCAAGATTGTGAAGTACTTCAAAAGAGAGATTTCACTCATACATTGTGCAACGCTCTGTAGAATATGCCCTAAAATGTGGTATATTTGGTTTCACTCAGAGTTGTTCAAAATTGAGCCTTCAAATTCTTTAATTGAATAGCGATACTACCGATACGATTAAAAAAGTATTCATTTTACCGTGACGCTTACGACAGTCGCTCAAATTAAAAGTCACTCGAAGTAAACACAAAATTGCAGGTTGCCAAACCTTGGAGAAAAATATGTTAGTTGGCCGTGCAACTAGAATTACTTTTATTCTCTCCGCGCGTCTCTTAAAATATAACATCGTCTCTGGTTCACTATAGTCGCTATTGGCGTTGACGGCGCCGTCGAAAAATTTGCTCCTCCAGCTAATATAGACAGTTTCTTAGGGGAATTTTCGGTGGAGTGAAAGGATAGTACAAAGTCCGCCATGTTTCACGCACAGTCTGACGTTTGCTTATGGATTTTCTCATAGGACTAAATAGAGTCGGTGTATAATGAGTCACGCCAAGAGTGAAGCCAAGTCTACCTATTGGCCTGTCAAACTGGCTACCTATCGTGCAAAGTAAACAAACATTACGATGCTATGAAAGGTCCACGAAAGGTATCGCAATAAAATATAAAATATAATCGAAGAAATGATCATAAACCCGCAGTGAGCATTAAATTGTCATGGTATACGTTTGGTAACGATCAGTAATGAGAATTTCTACTATTTTTTGTTAAGATGATTGGACAAAATCACTAATAGAATGATTTACAACAGCCGCTATTTTTTTTGCTCGCTAGAAGTCATTTGAAGTTGATGTAGCAGTCCTCTGTTGCCAAGTGAAAAGAAAGGTAATCTTTCGAAAACCGTGATGCGAGTTCAACTGTTTTTCTCTTGGCGTGACTCATTATAGAGATTGCTAAAGTATGATTGTGTAAGTGATTTGTTTTCATCGGGAAAATTTTCCGCTATGAAGTTTTTTTTTCCCGATGAAAACATTTTGCGTATACGTATACGTGACGCACACTACGTACGATAAACGTCAGCAATCTCTATATACCGACTCTAGGACACTAGGACTAAAGAGCTACAGAGTCGCCGTCAACACCAATATGAATATAGCGACTATATTGTTATTGTTGACGTGCTATATTGTTTTCTTTAGTTTAAAAAAGGTGTAAAATCAAAAATTTATTATTTTTTTTGCCAGTTTTGTGACTTCTAGTAAATTTGATAGAGTTATCCGTGGCTAACTATGGAAGCCCGCTGTCGAATTTGTTCACGAACCGGACCGTTTGAGTCAGTGCTTCTGAGTTCCTGACTCGAAGCCCTTCTTCAAACTCATCTTCGAGCATCACTGGATTATTCATCTGCCTTCTTTACAAGGGAAAGTGTTCTCTTTAGGCTTATGAAAGTTGATAGAACTGTACTGGATAATTGCAGTCTATATTCATATTTACTTTTCAAACAAAAGAGGATAAATGTTTTCGAATAATAAAGTCATTTCGATAGATGCATGCAACGTTTTCTTCCTTCTCAGTTCTTGACCTTTTTTGATGTCTCCTTATTATCCTCAACCGCATTGTGTATATTCTTGCGATGCCTGTTAAGCGAAAACAAAGTACCAAAACGCTGTAAACAATCTTCGCACTCGTGCCGTTTAGCTTTGTCAAATCGATCGGATGTAAGATGCAATTCCGCCACATGCTTCACCAGCGTGTTCTTATTTGGAAACTTTATACCGCAGTGTTTGCACGACAACCAACTCTCAACTGAGCAGACCTGATTGGTAGTATGTTCCACATATTGATTATACATTTTAAAACTTTCGTTACACTTGGTGCATTTGTATTCCTGATCTTGGCCCGCGATCATTTCGCTATTTACCATGCACTGGACCAGATGAGTGACGTCATTAACGATCGCGTTACACCAATGGCAAGTGTATTCCTTTTGCTCAGATCCTTCAATTTGCTTTCCTGCGTCGTGCGCTTCTTGTTTTGCCAACGCAAGGGATAGTTCTGAGTCCATGTGTCTTCGTAGATTCTCGAGTGTCGTGAAAGATTTCTCACAATATTTACATTTAGGGAGTTGCTTTCTCGGACCAATGTGATTATTTGATTTGTTTCTTTTGGTTCTCACGTATTTTAGCGTACTACCTTCCTGCGGACAACCCGAAGCCTGTATGTGACGCTTGATAGTACCTAGGTAGGATGTCGAATAGCCACAGCTGCATCGATGCATTTTCGCCACGCAAGACGTAGAAGCATGTAAAATAGCAGATTTTCTCGAGGTGCAATTATAGCGGCATGTATTGCAACGAAATGTGGGAGCATAAGCATCTTCCAGATGAATCTGAAGCGCCTTTTTTGTAGGCAGTCCATGAAAACAAATCGGGCATCGCACCACATTCCTGCTACCCGAATCACTATTCATGTTTTCCACACGCACTTCAGGATGTGCTGTCTGGAAGTGGTCACTCAATTGCTGCTGAGTTTCGCAGACGGTGGCACAATGAGAAATGCAACAATAAAACATGCTTGTGTGGCGACTCAAAATGAATCCCATAGCCATCATTTCATCGTTCGTTTTATCATCAGCGATGTGCTCTTCAAGTGCTGAAAAAGAAAATAATTATTAACTTAGACTTCCATCCATCCACCCGTACCTCATACCGTTCCATTTCTGTTGCCTTACTGGACGTTTGCGTTTGGATGGTACACATTTCGCCTGGTGTCGTTTAAAGCTAAATGTGAGGGTCGTTTTGAAGCCACATTCACATACTTTCTCTTTCTTGTTATGCGCTCGAGTATGTTCCCCGTACAAGGCTTTGGATTCCGTTTGATATCCACAGTACAAACAGTGGAACATTGCTGTTTTCTTCCGATTTCGGTGCTCCACCAGGTTGATCTCATCCGTGAAAGATCTGGCACACACGATGCAATAGAATTCGGATTCATTGCACTTAGCTGCATTTGATTTCTTTTCCAATTGATGATCGGATGCAGCGTGCTCTATCAGTAGTTCTTTGAACTGATAATTGACACCGCAGTTCGGAAAACAGCAGTAAAATTTGTCTTCAGTTCCGTTTTCTTTGTATCCCACATTGTCCGTTTCTACCAAATCGGTAACCATTTCTTCAGCGTCAACGAAAGGTTCAAACTTGATCTGTCCTAGCGTTAAGCAGGACTCAAGATCATTGTTATCAAATTCATCGCAGGGCAATGTTTCTTCCCTGGGTAGTTTCTGGTTATCGGTTTGAATTGTCTTTTGGAAATAGGTATACGATTCGATGCAGAGTTGCCTCAACTCGTACCCAGCTACCAAGCTTCCCATACATATGCGACATATCTGTTGTGGTAACTTATCTCCAAGTGCACCCTGAAAAGGACATTAAAATCTGTTAATATTATAAATTTCTTTTCATTCCGGGTAAATCCAGGTGACACCTACCTCAAGTCCTGTCATAGACTGCATCATGCTCAGAACCGTGTCACTATAATCACTTTGATAATTCAAGGGAAAGAAATGCTTCAACTCTTTACGACGGCATATTCTGCAGCAAATATCCATTTCCGTAAGAATTTGTTTTAAATAACTAAAAGAAAAGATTCCACTTCAAAACAACCGTTTCAATGCACTAATCATCCTCGAAGCGAACCTAAATCCAGGAAATAAACAACAAAGCAAAGATAGTTGACAATTTCACGCTTAATTTAAATTCTCCATTTCTAGAGTAACATTTGAAATGGGCCTATGTCCAAAACGTAAACAAAATCGGGTTTTGATTAAAGCCCTACAGTACTGTTAAGGGCCACCCACATTAGATCCGTTTGCGTTGCATTGACGTAAATTTAACAGTTAGACAATAGATTTAGCTGTCACTTTGCCGCAACGCGTCCGATCCGGATCTAATGTGCGTGGGCCTTTACTGTAGGGCTTTAGTTTTGATACCATTTTTTAGCACCGCTTGATAGCTACCCGAAAAAAAAATTAAGTGAAATTTTCAGTGGAAACAATGCACTAACATTAATATTTATTGTCGACAATAAAAATGATTGTTATAATGTTGTACTCTTCTAAAAACGGCAAAACTGCTACCTAAGCTGAACAATGAATGTACATAATAAAATGTTGTTACAATGATTTTTATCGTATTTTTCATTTATTTTATTGTTAACATGATTCGATCATCAACAATAATGAACAACTCTATTACAATAAAAATTGTTGTTACATTAAATATTGGTGTGTTTTCATTGTGGGTTACTTCACGAACAATAAAAATAAATCTGATTGAAGCATGCAGACTATGAGAGGGTCAGCAACACTGCCAATGCAATCAAGATAGGTGCAGCTCGTATGGCTCTGGCTTTCCCTAATAAAATTGTTATGGTTATTTTGCTTAACGACGTGTTCCGGGTATCATCCAAACCATTTGTGGAATAGTTCTATTATTTGGGTTGTCGTTCGTTTATGGTTATTTTTTATTAGGGTTGACACACACAAAAAACAAAAATTGTTTTAATAAGAATAATGCCATTTCAAATTAAAAGTTTCCTAAATTTCATAATTTTAACAACGAAAATATTCAAAATAAAAGTTATTTTTTTGGTTTGAAAGTTTTTCTTTCAGTTTCGACTTGTAATTTTAAAAGTGCATTTTTTAAAATGAAAGTTGTTCAACTGTCAAAAATACATTTTCTAGGCAAAGTTTTTGGCAGCACTGGACCTCGTTTTGCCGCTTAATTTGGCTTGACGTCAGATGTGTCACGAAGAGCGAGGAAAAGTTGGGAAGGACAATAATTTTCCTCCGTGGAAAATAATTATCGCATCAGGTAAGCGATCAAATTTAAGAACAATAGTAGAGTTTAATTAGAGATTTTTATAAATTTCAGATAAACCGAAACAATAGTCATCTGCGAGCGGACGAGATGGCTAGGAATGAACAGAAACCCTCACCGAAAACGGTCTAATTTGACACCTTCCTTCCACTATCTGCTGCCGTAAAATCTCCACCGGTAAACAATCACGCTGCTGACAATGCTGGAGGTTGTCTTCTGTCCTTAACCCTGCATCTGTGACATCACCATGTACCTGTTCCTGTAGCAGGTTTACTCAAAGCGAGAATAACTCCAAGACGCAATAACGTAAACATCAACAAAGATAACAATAACAATGTAAAAAAAAAAAATTGGCTCTTATCCAATTGAAAAATAATAATAAAGAAGATTGAAAATTTATCCACTAAAATTAAAAACAATTTTTTTTTGCAAAATAAATATTTTTTGAAAATATTTTAGTTTAAATTCAAAATGCCCATTTAATTTTAACTATGCCACATTTTCAAGTCAAAAATAATCCACCATTAATTTAAACACTAATACATTTTTCATTTGACAGTTCTACAATTCATTTTGAAAATATGAACTTTTAAAAGTATCGAGCGGACAACTTTTGAATTGACGGGTGGTTGACTTTTATTTTGAAAGCTAACCGCTTTCTACCAAAAAGAACCAATGCAAACTTTTAAATCTACCAATGGATTTTTTAATTTTATAAACGACTTTTCTTTGTGTGCAGTTCGTTTGGTTCAAAACCAGCCAGTCCGCGTCCGCTCATCTCTTATCCTAGACTCTCTCTAAAGCTGGGTTAAGATGGTTCAATTCAGCGTTCAACTCTCTTGAACTGCGAAATGAACGTCCAGAAATCTGACCGATATCGGACTTGCTCTATTCGTTGCCAAGTCAATTGAACGCCTACGACCAGATCGGTTTGAGTTGAATTCAACTCACCTACCTCATCTAAATCCCGCTTAATGCAGACCTTTTCCGTGCAGTCAATAATCATACAATATAATAATAAAAAATTCCACCACTTGAAGATGTCAGGAAAGAACTCTCAGGTGGAAGCATATTTCATGGGCGATTCTCTCCAGTAGAATGCATTAACTTACTTATCAATGACGCTCAACCACCAAGGAGACGTGACCTAGAGAGATCGAGTGCAGGGGAGTTGGCCTCCATTTCTCACAAGTTCCGGATCGAATCTCAATCCATGACCAGTAAAAAAAAGGACTCACCCGTAACAGACATACCACCCCCTTCCTTTCCCGGGGCGTGTTATTTTTTTCAATCAATAAATTCGCCAACCAACAGTAAAATAACAATAATATATAAAGATATTGAAAAAAAAAATATATGGGAAAATCAAGAAAATTTCATTGTTAAGATACTTAACAAACCCCCCTTTTTATTGTACATTTTCCATTTACCATGAAATTTACTGTTTTGTACAACATAAATCAAGGTAAATTTATTGTAGACGTAACAATATAAATCATTGTTAAGACAATAATTTTCGTCTTACTGTTACATTGTTTTTTAATGTATTTTTGTTGTTATTTTTTTTCGGGTACTAATCGTGTAGGAAAGTTCCACATAATCGAGAAAAATCATTAAAAATAACTCGATTTTCGAAACGGCCGATCAACGAAATTTTTCGATTCATTAATATGCCCGCTTACTGAAACGGCCAACCATTCATTTATTTGGTTTGTTTTGAATTTATTTGACGTTGCGAAAAGGCTTAGCAAAGGGCCTACCATTTCTGATGACAAGCACAACGGCTTAACAAAAAGGACCTATCCATTGAAAAATTCACAAAAAAGGCTTATTAATTTATGAAATTATATTGTTATCGATTTTCATATATTTTTGAAAGCTTTTCGTATATTTTGGATGTTGTATACTGAGATACAGTTACTATTGTTATTGTGAACAATATAAATGCCTAAAATACTTCAATTTTCTTAAATATGAATTGAATAGTGGAGGTCAAAATTTAAAATTCATTTTCTGGTTTGTTTACGTTTTGGACATAGGCCCATTTCAAATGTTACTCTAGATTTATAAGTATGAATACTCGCGTCACTTTTCAAATAGACCAATGTAACATATCCACCATTTTGAGAATATCGAAGTTGAAGTTCGACAGACTGTTAACTGTTTAGAAACAATACATTTTGCAATACTATTTTCAATGTAGTCAGTGAATTACGTTGAAAATTCAGTAGAAACGGTAAAATTACAATTTTACTTTGAATTTCATGCTAGTCAATTGGGCTCTTTAATTCTTAAAAATATATCGGTTTTTATATATCATCTGAAAGAACTTCGTTTTCTGAGCACAGTGATATTTATTCCGAACCCACACACTTTCATCTTGATTTTTAAATCAAGATTTAAAGCAAAATAATAACTTCACTGTTTGACACTAAACAGACAAACTGACAGCTCGCTCCCATACAAAGTGGCACGTAGGAGCGCTAATGAGGTGATTTTTGCAAATGTAATCGTTCTTATTTAAAATAGTTCCAGTGTACCAAGATTGATGAAATTTTGGGATTGGGTTCCATTTTTAATGCAGATTACGAATATGCATTTACCTCAATACCCTTAAAGAACCCAATTTGTGCATCGGACATGTTACATTGAACGATTTTTCTCAATGACATAATCAATGAGTGTTTATGCCTTGTTCAGACTGGAGAGTTATAACATGTTATAACGGTTGTCAAATAATTGCAACACAGAAACCACCATCAAGATAGCGCTATAACATGTTATAACTCTGTAGTCTGAACAAGGCATTACTTTGGACATTGTTTCTACATGATACTAGATTCCCTTTAACAGATTTTAGAGTAGAGTGCCTAAATTTAGATTGGCCCCGCCCCACCTTTATAAAATGAGCACCAATCATGTTCTTCTTCTTCCTCACATTTCAAGCTTATTGCGTATCGAATATTAGCTTATTGCGTGCTCTCAACTTAGTGTTCTGGATGCCCTTCCACAGTTATTAATTGAGAGCTTTCGATGCCTGTACCATTTTTGCACTAGTATAATTGTGTGGCAAGTACAATCATACTCTATGCCCAGGTAAGTCGAGAAAATTTCCCGTTTATGCGGGAATGGAAATGGTAGTCAGGAAGGTACTGTACCACCTTGTGATTTAAAACAAAATTGTATGGACTAGATAGAGCTGGAATTAGGGCCTAACAGCTTTTGTAAACAATGACTTCAATCGATGATTTCTAGAAATTTAAGGCTCGCCCACGCAAACCAACCTCCTCATCGGGTAGGGAAAGTTTTTCCCTATCCGGTGGTTATTTTGGTCTGCGTGGGCGTGCCTTTAGTTCCTAGAAGTCATCGATAGAAGTCATTGTTTACAAAAGTTGTTACGCCCTAATTCCAGCTCTATCTAGAATTGTCTACGCAAGGGGAAGGGGGGAGTCAAGAATCCCATAAAACTGTCAACGTAGTTGTCGGAAGGTGTTTCTGGGTGTTTGTTCATGTCGACCGAGATGTCAAAAAAGTTCAGTGGTACTGTTTACGTGAACTTAGTCAATTTTTTCTTGAGCATATTTTCTCGATAATTTTTCAGACCGCGGTGAGCTGTAAATCACACTTCTGCAATGTCCAGAAGCAACATCCTTTCACCGCGCATTTCTTCGACAATTTTCAAGCTTAAATTAGGAAATTAAAAAAAAATTAGAAAACAAATAAGTGCTGAACTGTCAAAAAGGTTCAGCCAATAAACACTGAGTTCATTCATGACGTCACTCTGCAGAACCTAATTGGCAACCATCCCGACCAACCATTTCGTTAATTTTCTTTAATTTTCTATACATCGATCTTCAAAGCCATTCCCCGACCAACCATTCTTGAAACTTCTTCAAAGTTCTTTATACAGAAATAAAGATTTATTTCGGCAATTCTTTACTTTAAATTTTCTATGATTTCGATGTACACATTTAAAAATCTTTATTGCTCGATACTTACATTTAAGATTATTTCTTCATCGGTCATATGACAGTAATCTATAAAGGTGCCATACTAAATTTCTTTTAATTTCGATATGTCACATGGACTTTAGTATTCTTTACAAATATTCATCAATAAATATTTAAATACTGATATCATCGTAACTTTGATTTTTGACAAAGAACAACAAAGATTGCCATCGATGCACATTTATAATCTCCTTGTTATCGATTTGCATCGCTGGTTAAAGAGAGTTCGAGACACACCAGGTGACAGATGGCAATATTTATATTATGTATCGACATATTCGGCATTTCATCGGAAGAAGCAATCTGCCGGTAAATGAACGAGAAGACCGATGGCCACGATGCACCATTGTAGTTCTTCAAGTTTACGTCTATATATTTAATAACCCGTGATAGCATGCGTGGTGGGATTCTCGGCATTTGGAACCCAATGAGGAAAATTGATACCTTTTTGACCTCTGTTACACCTACATGGCTGACTGGTTGATGGTTATGACAAATAAATATTGAATTCATGTATGAAAAGATTTACAGAAATTTCAATACACCACATACTAGAGTGTGTTTGCCTGTCGCTGATAAGCTCATCAACAGCAGCCGTGGACCCGAGGATTAACAACCAACAACGAAATCAGTACACCCCAGATGGCATGGGATCGAAACTAGAAATTATGCAGATAAAAAATCACAAATAAAATCAGCAGTTGTGTGTCGATATTTTGATTTTACAACAGAAATGGATATTTTGATCTGGCAACACAATCGATATTTTAACATTGGTAACGATTAGTAGCAATATTTTGAGAAAGATCTTTATAAACGATTCACGATTAGACTTTTAGCATCTTTACAATTATTCATGAAATGGTGACGATCGCTATCGATGTTTCTTATGACCCGACCAACCATTTCGTTAATTTTCTTTAATTTTCTATACATCGATCTTCAAAGCCATTCATAAGAAACATCGATAGCGATCGTCACCATTTCATGAATAATTGTAAAGATGCTAAAAGTCTAATCGTGAATCGTTTATAAAGATCTTTCTCAAAATATTGCTACTAATCGTTACCAATGTTAAAATATCGATTGTGTTGCCAGATCAAAATATCGATTTCTGTTGTAAAATCAAAATATCGACACACAACTGCTGATTTTATTTGTGATTTTTTATCTGCATAATTTCTAGTTTCGATCCCATGCCATCTGGGGTGTACTGATTTCGTTGTTGGTTGTTAATCCTCGGGTCCACGGCTGCTGTTGATGAGCTTATGGGTACTTTCAAGATAGCGTGTATACACGGCTAATTATACCAACTTAGCGACTGAGAATAATTGACTCAGAGAATTTTCTTTCCATACGAAATGTACTCAGATTTGGAAGAAACTGCAGTTACTCATAAGCTATCACGCTAACGTGAAAGTACCCATTAATGGTTGAAAAAGACCCATTTTGAAGAAAAGTGGCTTAACTCATTAAATGAGTAATTTTTTTACCCATTAATGAGTATCTGTTACCCATTAATGAGTAATTGTTTATCATTAATGAGTAACAGATACTCATTAATGGGTAAAATTGTTTAATCATTAATGAGTTAAGCCACTTTTCTTCAAAATGGGTTTTTTTACTCATTAATGAGTACTTTCAAGTTAGCGTGATGAGTAACTGCAGTTTCTTCCAAATCTGAGTAAATTTCGTATGGAAAGAAATTTCTCTGAGTCAATTCTAGACAAACATTTCAAAAGGTCCTATCTGTCATTGAAGCTGATTGGAAAAAAATTGATTTGAACTTTTGCAATATATTTTTAAATGCCATTTTTAATTACGACATAAAACGATAATCTTTTGTATTCTCAAATGCATAGGAAACACATAGAATCCGACTGAAGTGTATGTTTCTTCGTTTTATTCATAATTTTCAGGTTTAATTCGTGGTTTTGTTACATAGGATCTTTGGCTTTTTTCAGTATCAGTTAGGACCTGTCAAATTGGCCTGATTGCAAAGTTAATGTTACTTAGGACCTTGGTGAGAATACGGTTTAGAGGTCAGATAATTACAACTACATCATTATTTGTAATTGTTGATGGGCTTAAAACTACTATTCTGCCAATTCATTAAGTAAACAACGTTTATAATAAGAACTTGTCCATTATTTTTTTTCTGATGTATGCAGGAAAAATGTAAGTGTATGGAAAATTTGCATATTTTTTAATATTCGGTACATAAAAATAAACAAACTCTTTTTTTTTCATTCTACATCATTCGTTTTACATTTATTAGCTCAAGCTGTTCATCAATAATTTACATTCATTCATGTTATTCGATCAAATCTACATCGCTGTCCTCCAATGGATCGAGATCCCGAGCGAGATCCACATCAAAGTGGTCTACAACCGTATTATTGTTCTTCTTCCTGTTTTTTTTTCTGTTGCAATGTTGCAAAATAATCTTTTTGCTTGACATATGGCATCAGTTTGCGTAAATCGTCCAATTTAGCACTTGGCAATTCAAGTGGTTGATCCGCAATTGGATCGAAATCCTCGTCCAAATTCACGCTTGTAATATCGCATGTCGAATTTGACAGAATTTTGAATAAGCTTTTGCCTTGGTGTACTCCTGGAATTGCAATTAATTCGTCAACTCAATACCAGAAGCAGGGCGATTGATTACAGGCATCGTAAATGAAACTTTCTCATATCCCACTTCCCAGTTAGATGTTGGATCCATAGGAATTTCTAAAGCTTCATGTTCATATTAGTATAGCATTTCCAACTAACTATTATGAGTTTTAGTTTTTCTATTCCACGTGAAACACGAGATGAAACAAAGGTCCTATTAGCATTTGTATTTTGACGTAGGACTACGTCTTTGATTTCTATATGGGGGTACACTTTGTGAAAACCGAAAATGGAACATGTAACAAATTAAGAAAGATTTTGAACGTTAATAACTCAGCTGCCCCGGGTCCAATTTCAATAACTGTATCACCAATCGATCAGAAATATGGCTACGCATCGATCAGAATGCTTTCGAATGTTGATTTTCAACAATAATCTATTGAAATACTGGTAAATGTCCAGCATTGTCCAAAAGCGTCGAATTAACTAACAAATCCACCAATTACCTACATGCATATGCTGCTTCCCCAGCACAGTCGTCAGAGAGTAGTAAGTAGACGAAACAAGTCGAACTGGCATTCGCCTCCGATCCTCGGGCGCGTGCGAATAGGGAGGATGGAATTGCGTAATAGTTTGCACACTCATCGCCATATTCAGAACCAAACGCAAAGTTCTTCGAGATAACCGCCATCGGTCGTCTGGCTCGCCGTGGTGGTGTCAAACGTATCTCCGGTCTGATCTACGAGGTGTGCTGAAGGTGTTCCTGGAAAATGAGGTCCGCCAAGCGTAAGTGGTCATGGATGTCCTCTTCAATAAAACGGCCATCAAGCTTACATTAGTAAAGAGTTGGAATATAATTTATCTGTGCTTGTTTGTCCATATTCAGAACCACAAGCCCCCAACGACCACACAAAATGCTCTCCAGAGTTGTAATCTTGTAACCAAACTTGGAAGCAGGGGTGCAAGTGACTTTGATTGATTCTCTTAGTCAACTTTCTCTTTGAAAAAAAATTACTACAAATTTGGTACGCCTTCAATTCAAAATCGGAAAGAGTTGAGATAATAGATAACACACTTAGAAATTTTACAGAAATCTGTAAACTTTCACCAAAATCTCAACAGCTGAACGTTCGGTAAATAGTTTCACAGATTTCCTGTAATTTTTCACAAATATCTGTGAATTTTTCACAGATATCTGTAAATAATTACAGGAAAACTGTAAAATTGTTTACCGAACGTTCAGCTGTTGAGATTTCGGTAAAATTTTAAAGAAATCTGTAAAATAATCTTAGTGTAAATTGATCAATTAAAAGAACTAAATCAGTGCCAACATTTCAAAGGGGCGTAATTGCATTTGTAAACAATGGCTTTAGCCGTCGATTTTTCGCGAATAAAAGCTCACTCATGAAAAATAATGACACCAGCAGGTAGAGGAATGTTTCCTCTACCAGCTAGCATTGTTATTTTGGAGAGGTAAGATTTCATTCGCGAGAAATTGACGGCTAAAGTCATTGTTTACAAAAGCAATTACGCCCCTTTGAAACGTTGGCACTGAAATGCTCTTCACATTTATTCCGTACACTAGCGGTCCTACGTCAAGCTTCCGTTCGTGCCCCTAGGCACAGACCCTGCTACTTTTTTTTTTGGTTGAATGACAGATTGGACTGTAAACATGTTTAAGGTCCAATCAGAGAGCTGTGCGATATTATAAAAACTTTCAAATTGGACGTTTTTTTCACATATTTTTATAATTTTCTGAATATTGATAATTAAAATTTCTAGAACAATACTTAGAGAAGGTGAGCTCTGCAGTACAGAGAAGCATTAAACTCGATTTGTTTACAAATGTCAGATAGGACCTTTTGAAATGTTTATCTAGAATTATTCTCAGTCGCTGAGTTGGTATGATTGGCCGTGTAACAATTATCATGACATGCATGTAATTATTTAAGCAGACCCCTTGAACGTCAGCAAATTTTCGATTTCGCTTTTGTTGTTTATTTCGGTTGGGTTAACGACCCAAATTTTTAGAAATTTTATCAATTTCCTCTATCAGCTGAGTAGGAAGTGACTCGGGAAGTGAGTCTTTGATTCAATTCGTTTCACTTGCAGTGAAATTTTGATTATTTAGATTTTTAGAGTAGGCATAGTTCAATAATTTTAAGTTTAATCAAAGATTCGAACAAAAATGGATAACTACTGCAGAATTTGCCGTCGTACTGAGCTGAAGGATTTCTTCTCATTGAATTATCAAAGTGATTTTCACAATCAAACCGGTGAGACAGTTCTGGACATGTTAAAGTCCATGATGGGATTGAATGTAGGTATCATAATGTTTTTCATTTCTTGTAATTATTAATACGTGAAGCTGCCCTCCTTGTAGGTGGCGTTAGGTGATAAGCTACCCCAACAGTTATGCCGTGTTTGCACGGGAGCGCTAGTGGCTGGATATGAATTAAGGAATCTTTGTATCGAATCGGATACCTTTTTCCGACAGACCCTCCGAACCGACGACCAGAAGCAACCTAGTGACCAAACCGATCACAATGATCTTGAATCCTGTCTAACGTTGGGACAGATTAAGCTTGAGCCTTCCCTTCAGGTCGAAGATACGGGAATCGATTATCTAGAAATGGATTTGGGATATAATGTCGAATTATCTGTAAATAGATTCTACTGTTGTTTGCCGAACTGTAACGTGAATTATCAATTCGAAGAACTATTGACGGAACACGCTGAATCGGACCATCAGTTAGAAAAGGAAGCAAACGCTAGGAATTGTAACGATTCCGAGTTTCGTTGCATCGTTTGTGCTAGGACTTTCGCTGATGAAGTCGACCTGTTGCAACATCGGAATCACACAAATTCTACATTGCAGACGGACTCCAACTTCTTGATCGAGAAGGCCGCCTATGTGCACAAGGAAAAATGTACCCAAAACAGCCCTCAGTTTAGACGACCGAAACTCTACGGTTAGATGCAATACATATCGACCAAGATGTTTCATTCATATATGCATATCTTTCTTTTCAGTAAGTCTTCAGGACAGCATTCCTGATCTTGATAAGACGAATGATGAAATCATTGCCATGGGTTTCAGTTTCAATCGAAAGACAACAATGTTCTATTGCTGTATTTCTCAGTGCGCTACTGTTTGCGAAACTCAGCAACAATTGTGTGATCATTTTCAGCAACTCCACCCAAGAATGCGTGAGGAAAATATGCAAAGAAACTCCAACTTAACGAATATATTTCGATGTCCGATTTGCTTTTCTGGCTTTCCCACGGAGAAGACACTTCAAATTCACATGGAAGATGCTTATGATCCCGCATTTCGGTGCAATACCTGTCGCTATAGTTGCCTATCCAGGAAGAATGCCGTTAAACATGCTATGGTGCCATGCGGGGCCAAACTGCATAGATGCAGCTGTGGCTTCTCAACACCATACACATATGCTATTAAGCGCCATATGAATACTCTAGGATGTCCAATAGAGGGCAGTTCGCTAAGAAATTATAGAATCAGACCAACTAAATCCAGCGAAAAGGGTGCTACTGGCAGCGAAACTCGTAAAAGTGAAATATATAAATGCCAAAATTGCGAGAAATTTTTCAGGACTATAGCGAGCCTTCGAAGGCACACAGAATCAGAACTTTCACGTGCGTTGGCAAAACAGGAGGCAAGAGACCCGGGGAAGAAAGTTGTCGGATCCTTGCAAAAGCAGTACACATGCTGTTGGTGTAAAGCGATCACCGATGATAGTAGCCATCTGGTGCAGTGCATGGTCAAAGCCGAAAAGGACACCGGAGAAGATATCGGACACAAATGTTCCAACTGCGATAGAAAGTTTATATATTACAACAAGTATTTAGAACACAGGAACCGTAAAGTCTGCCTACATAAGAGTTGGATTAGAAAAACGCATAGTAAGAGATCAGGGGAGAAAATATCATCTTCTTCTTCTTAGTTCCAACGTCGGTCTCTGTTCCGCAAGCTAGTGCCAATCATCGACGGACATCGATTCCCATCCATTGACGACAATCGAATGTGGAGGGAGGCCGCATCCACACTTGCGTAGGATATCGCACCCATCAATAAAAACATGGACAGCTACCAAGGGCTATACTTCTCTTCCGAAGGAAGACGTGACCAGAGGTTTTTTTTTTGCCCACCGACCTCGGCTGGGATTGAACCCAGACCCATTGGGGTAAGAAGCAGTCACGCTTACCACGCTAACCAGTCACGAGATGATCATGAAAGTAGTCCTGGCAACACTTACATTTGTAATGCACGGCGAATGAGAACAACCCAAATTTGAGTTTGGTTTACTCATAAAGTACATTTCTAGATTTGTCCAGGAACCAATTTTCGAATATGAGAAAAGTAAAGATTGCGTTCACTTAGTACTACGGTACTATAGAGTAAAATTTTCGTCAAATTTCCTCGTTTTCTGGCAGATTTTTAGGTTTTCCACAGAAAAACAAGGCAAATTTACTCATCGCTGAGTTCCTGCACTTTTGGGGATTATGAGTAAACTAAACTCAAATTTGGGTCGTTCTCATTAGCCTCTCCGTGTGCCTGCGTGCGATGCTATACACTCAAAAATATGTATAATTATTTTATAATTGAGACGTGTTTAAACATTGTTTGGATTGAACTATGATTAAAAAATATACTATGTTCGAATAACAGCGTTGAATTCGTTCAGTATATTTCAAATTACATCTGACAAGCGGACGTAATATCAATCGCAATGGCAACCATAGTCGTTACAGTTAATTTCATTTTCGTTTCATCGTACATTAAATTCAAATTTTGTTCGTCTAGTGGATCGCTGAACATTACCATCTAGACTGCACTTCTAGTGGCAGTTAAGAAACGATAGGGACCCGGTAGTAATAGTTAAATATTCCTAAGGAGCTGTGAGTCGGGTTGAAAAAGATCGAGGAGCTAACTTCAAAGGAGAAATTAATATTTTCTGCAAGGATTTGATAAAGCTGCACTTCTATGATAATCAGTCCCGCCGAATTGTGTTCGAGGAGCTACAACTGAACGCCTTCCCAATGGCAAATAACGAACAACTTTTTACATTTAAATTATAAGAATTAGACAAGATTTCCGAGATGCAACTGAAACGTTTACGAACCAGTAGCTGAGCTTCGTCGGATGGATGACAACAATGAAACCAGGTGGATTACGAGAATCAATGAGATGTACGTTATCTGTGTGGGTCAAATATCTTCACTATTTGAGAACACTTTGTTTATTTTTTCCAAAATCAGTTATTTACTTGACAGAAAACAAAAACACGCATCCACACCAATAAACAGCTTGTATACATCCTATCAATATCACGACTTTAAACATTGCACTGTATAAACCATTTTTATACTAAGTTCGTATTCTTTCGTTTTATACCATTATACTTTTTAAATTTGAATATTTTCTGAGTGTAAAGTTCTCCAGATGCACAACAGTGTGCGTGAGACCGCGCACTACCTTTTTCATTTTTATATATAGATGTTGGATTTTGGTGTTCGTGAGATTGCGCTTGGAGATCTCTATATTTATGTTTTTCTTTTTAACTGTTGTACTGAATGTTAATTTTAATTTGCATGTTCTAAAATTATGATTAGTACACACGATCAAAAATAGAAGTAAAAAAAATCGCATAAAAATTTAATGAATTTTGGGTTGACACTAAAGAGAAAATACTTCCGTACATGGAGGGTGGTTTCATAGTGATACAACTTTGTCACTGTATGGGTGAGGAGATTGCGGGGGGAAAGTCTCTAAATCGCTTAGAGCAAATTGTAAACTAACTCGGTCGCTTCAGATTTTTTTTTTTTTTTTTTTTTTTTTTTTTGTCTTTATTTTAGAGATTTTTAGCCTGAGGCTAGTTCATCTCTTGGGTCGCTTCAGAGCCTTTAGAGTCAATGTTATAATAAGAGTCCCGCGAAGAGTGAAGCCAGAAGTACCAATCGAACTGTTAAGTGGGGTACCAAACATGCAAAGATACTATAGATTCCATATATATATAGCGGAGGCACAAAACGTTATTTTAGCGACCATGAAAAATAAATGATCTTACTGGCATCCGTGAAAAAAGTTCTTGCCATCATAGAGCTCTTCGTTGTGCATAGTTTTGTTTTGTTTCGTGCGTAAAAGTTCAAAATGAAGTGCAAAGCAAATCTTTGCAACAATGTATCGAGGAATGGTTTGCTTTATCATTCCTTCTTTCGTTGTCCGCGAAATAAATCGGAATGTGGAGTGTGGAAAGCATTTTGTGTTCATAATATTACAATACTTCTCCCTCAAACAACACCATGATGACGTCATGCTCGTTTGGATACACTAACTGACAGTTCGTTTGGCTATATTATACTTTTCCCACTTTCCCTCCGCTCACGGCGAATGAGAACGACCCAAATTTGAGTTTAGTTCACTCATAATCGCCAAAAGTGCAGGAACTCAGCGATGAGTAAATTTACCTCATGTTTTCCCAGGTTTTGCCAGGGAAAAATTCCCGAATTTGAGAAAAGTAAAGGTTGGATTCACTCAGTCTATTGGTATTACTCCGAGACTGAATAAAATTTTCGTCAATTTCCTCATTTTCCGGCAGATTTGTTAGGTTTTCCACAAGAAACCATGAGACAAATTTAACTCATCGCTGCGTTCCTGCACTTTTGGCGATTATGAGTGAACTAAACTCAAATTTGGGTCGTTCTCATTCGCCGTGCTTATTTATGGAATCTATACACAGCAAAAAAAAATGTAATATCGATCAATGTAATTCAAGCTGATGTATGAAATAATGTTGTAATAGCAAAAAGCAGATACAATATTACCATATTACATCAATGGATGTAATTTTGTTCGCAAAATCGATGTACATCGTACAACGTTATATTACACAACCGATGGATTGACCTGCTTGCAGCAGTTTGGATGTAATATTCAACAACTTTTTTTCTGTGTAGGGGCACGCAATAACCTTTAATTTAAACGCAGGCAACGGCTGATATTAAATTAATTCGATTAACTACTGCTTTAATTACATTAATTACACAATGTAGAACATTAACTACTTCTTAACTCCATTAATTACAGTCGAAATTTCGTAATTAAAGCACATTAATTACATTTTCAATACTTTTAATTACATTAATTACGGATAGATAATTTTAATTACCGTCAATACTACTTCAAAACGCATTAATGACTTTAAGTACTTTTGATTGCATTTTAACTTCAACGCACCGGTTCTTTGTATTGCGTGCCCCTCGTGAAAATCTCTATTGAGGTAAATGCATATTCGTAATCTGCATTGAAAGTGTAACCTAAACCCCTCTTAGCCTAAACCCAAAATTTCATCAATTTTGGTACACTGAAACTATTTTAAATAAGTGCAAAAATCACCTTATTACCGCCCCTCGGTGTCACTTTATATGGGAGCGAGCTGTCAGTTTGTTAGTTTAGTGTCAAACAGTGAAGTTATTATTTTGTTTTCAATCTTGATTTAAAAATCTAGATGAAAGTGGGGATGCGAAGACAGCCATTGCAGAACGATGCTCGAATCTGTCCATGCCCAGTGTTCGATCTGCTGGTGTGGCAAGGCTTCAGTAATCCGACGCATCAACTCCGTGAGTAGCAGCGCTCCGTTCAACTCTAGACGAGGTAGTGACACTTGCTTGATTGGCGCCACCCGAGATTTAGCCGCAATGAGTACCACCGAAACGTTGCCTTGATCATCGACTGTTCTCGCGTACACCACCGCAGCGTATGCCTGTTCGGAGGCGTCCGAAAAACCATGAAACTGCACACGGTCCCGGCTTGGAAAAATACACCGTGGAATTCGGATGGACTCGAGTAGATAAAGATTTTGCTTCACTGCTTGCCATTCTTGCTCGACGGCTGACGGCAACGGGTCGTCCCAGGCGATGTCGAAAAGCCAGAGGTGTTGATAGAGAATTTTGATTTTGACTATTACAGGAGCCAACCATCCGAACGGGTCGAATAATCTGGACGAATCTGATATCATCTGGCGCTTAGTGTTGACACTGTGCGGGGAAAAACTAACCTTGAATCCATATTCATCTCGAGACGGATACCACAGGATGCCCAGTGCCTTCACTGCCTCGTTGTAATCCGAAAGCTTCATATGTACGGGTTGTGCTTCGTCCGAAGAGTGGTTGGATAAAAGATTCTCACAATTAGACGACCACTTCCTTAGTTCAAACCCGGCTGAAGATAAGATTTCGACCACCTGCTGCTTCAGGCGGATTGCTTGTTCCTCGTTGTCTGCTCCGGACAGGAAGTCGTCGACGTAAAAGTCAAGCTTGATCCGCTTCACTGCTTCCGGATAAACGGCTTAGCTGATTCTCTCATGGCCTCGATTGCCAAATACGGGTCTGTTTTCGTTCCGTACGTCACTGTACAAAGGCGAGAGTGCTTCAACGGCTGATCGGGTTCTTCACGGAAGACGATACGAAGATAGTCACGGTCCGCTGGATGTACCACACACCAAAATTCTTAAATCTTGTTCGGTACTTTTTTTGCTGGATTTGTTCGGTGAAATATACTTTTTACCGAATGCTTTGTAATCAATATTATTTTACCAATTTTCCGCAATCATAAGTGCTGAATACCCGTAATTTGCAGAAATTTACCGAAAACTGCAAATCAAATTTGCTGATTGAAACTGTAAATGGTTGCGATTCCGCAATTCTGTAAAAATTGTAACGAATGTACTGTAAAAATAATCTTTTACAAAAACAAACTGTAATAAAGTACAGCATTTCCGTAAAACTTTCTGAACAGATTTGTAAACTTTGTACAGTCAAACACAACCTTTGCTGCCATTTCGGTGTTGAGTGTTCTTCGGTTTTATGTTGGGGAATGTAAGTACTTTACTTTTTTTTGCTAGATTGTGTTAAATTTACACCGAAAATTTAATTAGTTTTCATTTTTGGGTCAATTTATTTCAGACGCCATGGACGTTAGGCAACTCAATATCCTTCTCAAAAGTGCTCAAAAGTCCACTGTTTGCTGAATCCGGCTTCATTACTGTTTTTTTATTATGTTTGTACGAACGCAATATGGAAATGCCTAATAAAAATATATATGGTAAATAGACTATATAACGTAAATAGTCGTATGAATTTTTGGGTTGGTGAATGAAAGAAACAAATCATTAATCAATAAAAATTCTAATTATTATGATTTATTCTGAAAAAAAAAGTACAGTAGATTCGGTAAAACATATACTGAACGCTATGGTAAACTTTACTGATCGTTAAGTAAAATTTACAGTCCGCAGGTCAGTAAATTTTGACAGCCCATAAGCGAAGAAAATTTACCGAACGGATTGTAAGTTGAAAAATTACCGAATGGATTACCGAAAGTTCAGCTGTTCCATATTCGGTAAAAATTTACAGTATACTGTAAAAAAATCTTAATGTGCAGTACTTGACGGTAATATTTGGCAACATCCGCACGGAAAGCCACACGATGTGAACGAAACCGCAACGCAACTGTGAAGATATCAGCGTTATTGTTTGGTCCGGCCAACAATCTGTCA